ATATAGAGGTCGGAGGGCAGGAAGTTCAGAGTCATCTTCAACTACAGAATAAATTCAAAGCCAGCCTGGGATAAATGAGACCATGCCAAAAAACCAGAAAAACAAACAAACAAAAAAATTCTGTCCTGTACAAAATAGTTTGAGAGCTATAATGTATGTGCTGTGATACCAAGGAATGACTGGTTAACTCTAACAAGTGGCTGAGAACCTTACTTGCTAAGAGTTAAGATATCACGAAAACAATTTCATGATTTAGGTTATGAACAGAAATTCAGTTAAGTACATTTGGTGACTAGTTTTATAAATCCAAAAGTAACCTCAGGATCAAGAAGTTTGTGAAATAAAATTTCCAGCTACCACAGCCCTTGTCTATAATATATTTGGGGGTAGGTAGGCTGGGTGGAGAATACACAAGTAAAGTAAGGCCTAAGTCAAAGTGGTAAAAAATTCTGTTCACGTTAGCTCAGACTTTACTCTTTGGGGAATGGTGAAGTCAGTTCAGGTTTTGGAGGGAGGAAACGATTTGAATGTGAGCGCTTTGGGGAAGCGTCTGGTAGCTGTAGCAGCAATCAGCGAGTGAGGAAACGGTCATGAAAGGTGTGGGAGAAGAGAGAGTGGGGAGAAAAAAAGAAAGAGGATTTGGGCTGTGAGAGGTATGGGTAGGAGGCAAAGTAAAGATGGCCTCTGAGTTTACCGGCTGTGAATAACAGTGCCATCAGCCAAAGAAGGAAAGGGACTTTTCTGGTAGGAAGGTAGAGGACAAGAAAAAAGGAAATTTGGTTTACAACATGGCACGTTTTATGAACTATTCAAAGTAATGGTGTTCAATAGGTTTTGTGTCTGGAGCTCAGGAATGAATGAATGAATGAATGAATGGGCAGGAGAACTGAGGAGACAGAGAAGCAAAAGGAAAATAATATGTGTAAGAAATACACAAAATACAAACTATTACAAAAGTATTACAGCTGGAAAGATTAAGACTACTGTATTTAGGTAGTCTTCTATGATCTTTTGTTTTTATTTTGTTTTGTTTTGTTTTTTTTTTTTTACAAAACAGACTTTCTCTGTGTAGCTCTGGATGTCCTGGAACTTGGTTCTGTAGAGCAGGCTGGTCTAGAAACCTGAGATCCACCTACATCTGCCTCCTGGGACCAAAGGTGTGACCCATTACTGCTCAGCTTCCTGTGATCTTTAAAAACTGCAGAGTATAGATGACCAAATGGAAAAGTAAACACAGAAAACTAGTGTGGGTGGTTGTTTTTTTCAAGAACTTTAGTGCAGAAAAGGAGACAGATGGAATTGCAATTTGTTTCTTCTAAGGATGAAGAGTTGTGAATGCACGTACATTTCAAAGGAAAGGAATTTACAAAGCGGAAGTCAGAATGCATAAGACACTAGGTGACGCTAAACTCACAGGCAAGCATCTCCAAAAAGAAAAAGATAATGGAATGAATCTCAGGGCTCAGTCAATATGCTCAGTAATTAAAGCCTTAAGAATTTAAATTCAGGCAGATTTTTTAGTTCGAGGACAGCCTGAATTCTACAGAGTGAATTCCAGGACACCCAGGACTACACAGAGAAACTCTGTCAAAAAAAAAGATATTAGGGACAGGAGAGATGGTTCAGTGGTTAAGAGCACCGACTTCTCTTCCAGAGGTCCTGAGTTCAAACCCCAGCAACGACATGGTGGCTCACAACCATCTGCAATGAGATCTGATGCCCTCTTCTGGTGTGTCTGAAGACAGTGACAGTGTACTCACATACATTAAATAAATAAATAAAAATCTTAAAAAAAAATTTTAAATTCAATTTTTGATGCTGCCATCTCCTCCCATTCATTCTCAGTCCCCTCATTCACTCATGTGTATAATCTTTGTCCTTTTTGGCCTTTTATTGTTTCTTTATAGTAAACAATAAAAGGGCCGTAATTGTACTTGATTCATCTTTCTGGTGGTTAAGTGTCAGGTTCAGGAACTGGTACTCAGCAGCCACCGAGGATAGTTAAATAGTTTTTAAAAGCTGTTAGACTTTTTAAATGTAGTAGCACATTTTTATTACTAATTCTGGGATCTAACACATCAGACATTTCTGCTCATATGATAGTTTTATAAGCAAAAGCAAGGAGTGACAAACATCCTTGTATTGCTGTCTTTATACTTTTCTTTCTTGAGATAGGAGCTCAATATATAGTGAAGACTCTTCTGGAACTCACTGTGTAGCCCATGCTGGCTTCAGATTCATCTTCCTCCTACCGCAGGTTCCCAGTGCTGGGATTACAGGCATGAGCCACTATGCTTGTGTGCTTAACTTCATATACTAGGCCTTGTTCAAAAACTTAGAATAAAATTTAGGCAAAAAAAAAACAGTATCTTTTAGTTTTTAGCTCTGATAAGAATGGTCAAAAAAAGAATTCATTTATACAAACTAAACTAACACATTTGAAATCCCAAAAGGTTCTGTTTCATAGTACAGATACGTATGTGCAACAGGATACATAATGCTGCATACAGGTATGCCTACTGAATTATTCTGGTGGGCAGTACAATATAAGAGGAGGATCCTATTACGTTAGAAGAAGAAAACTGAAAATTATCTACTCCACTACTGAAGGAAAATTTCAAAACCTGTCTGAAAATTATTTTTATATCTGTGTAATCCTTTCTTGGTTCAACATGGTAATATCATTCTGTATTTAAACAGTCATCTTTTTTGTTTTAAAATAACATACTCATAATCAAGAAAGTAAACCTGTTGTTAAATCAGATAAACCCAATATATTAGAAGGTTCTTTCACAACTTCTGTTACTTTTTCCTCAATTTTTCCCTCTAGTTCAGAAGCACCATCTTCATCTTGCCTGGCTGCTGTGACTGCCTTCAAAGCACTAACTACATCTCCTGAAAATACATTTTTCAAATGATTAGTGTGTGCTTAAAGGTTTCTTAAACAGCACACATTCTTCACACTACAAATCTCTAAGTATAAGCACATATATGCAAATGTTTCCAACCCCCTTCCTCTAGCACTTAGACAGAGTTTTGAGACAATGTCTTCCTAGGTAGCTCAGGTTGATCTCCAAGTTACCAGCCCCCTTGCCTGAATCTCTGGAGTGCTAGGATTACAGGCTACATACCATGTGGAGCCACTGTGCCCCACTGGGCATTTTAAGGTATTAAAATGGTGAGGAAGTGAAGAAGCATTCCCCAAACTGCTCATCTACTTCCAATTTAAACATAATCAGGAGGGCAGTAGCTATTCCCTCAACAGTGTAAAATTCCGTATCCATGAGGTTGGAGAGAGAGAGAGAGAGAGAGAGAGAGAGAGAGAGAGAGAGAGAGAGCGCGCGAGAGAGAGAGCGAGAGAGCAAGCACACAGTCGAGCCAGCCTTGTTTTGCACTAAAAGCTATGACTCTAAATGATGAGGACCCTACTGGCTGATTTTTGTCCTTCCTGTGATCAATCCTGCTACTCTTAAATGTGGTTTTAGAATTGCAAAAATAATTCTCTTAGATTATGACTGTTTTATGTACATCAAACCCCCAATTAGCCTAGAAATAGTAAATATGAATTAATTTCTCATAAGTGATAATTCAGGAGTATAAAGATCAATTTATGGACCAGAGATTTGTTGAAAGAACTCGTTGAATTTTTCTTAGGCCCACTGTACAAAATGTTAAGAAGATTCTTAAAGTGCTAATAATTATTAGTCTTATGTTTCCTATATGAACCGATAAACCACCACTCGGAACACGTATAAACACAGAGTATAAAAACATGGGCTATTAAGTTTTCACGATCATCTTCCTTTGGAATGAAGTACAAAGCTCAATTGGTATTTAGCAGATTCCTCTTCATACAACACATGAGGTCTCTATTCTCAGGAGCAAAATATACTACAGAAATAAGACAAATCCACCAGTGTGTGTAAGTCCTGACTGAAAAATTGGTTCAGTTTCTAAATCGTGACACGATCTCCTACCTTAGTACCTCCATTACTGTAATACAGTGGAAAGTTTTTAAACTATTATAGACTGGGTTGACATGGAAACTACTAAAGACACTAACGGACACAGCCACTAATTCCATTGTTTATTTTTATCTGCCTCACGCCTGGCCTTCGCATATCCTTCATGATGATGTCCTCGAGGTTTATAGAAGTATCCCTTTCCATTCTGTACTCCTTTTACTCTTACCTGCCGCTCTGGTTCCTCCTCCTCCCATACCCCTAAATTTGCTTTTCCACATTAAAAACCACCCTGGAGAAGGGCCTCCCCTATTCCCCAGCGAGGCATGGTTTCTCGCTTCTCTGCGGCAGAGAGATCAGGCCGTCTGCACTTACTGCTTTCAGCCTCCTCGGGGACAGAGGCTAGGGACGGGGACAGGGCCGGAGCCGGGGCAAGGGCTGGGGCTGGATCCGAGTCCGGCGTCGGAGCCGAGTCCAGAGCCGTATCTGCGGCCGGAGCTGGGACCGGAGCCGAATCCGGGGCCGGGGTCGGGACCCTGACCTGGGCCTCCTCCTTCTCCTGGGGTAGCAGCTCCTCCTCCGCCATATTCTCCATAGTTACGGCCTCCGTGCCAGGGGACGCGGAGGGGACTCGCGGCGGAGTGGGATAATAGACGTTAATGCACACAGGGCTGGATCCAAGGGCGGGGAAGCAATTGGGAAGGCTGTACGCGTGCCACAGACAAACGGCGGAGCGCCAATGACCCAACCCTGCCAGCAGAAAAACTGAAAGCCAGAGGCAGCGGTTCGACCCTTATCCGGCTTCCCCTTCCCCGAGGCGTTACAACGCCACCACAGACTGCGCAGAAGCGTATCGCGGACAGTGTCCAATGAGAAGAAAGAGTTCCGTTTCCTCGGTACGTCTCTGCATCACTGGCCGCCACCGAACCGAGATAAGACTACAACACCCAGGAGCCATCGCGCCCCCTGGCCTGTGCTCAGTTCCGGTCCTTGGAGGAAACACACAGAGAGCGCAGAGAACTCTAGAATTGCCTAGAGCGTTCGGCACCTGGTGGGGAGGTCCGAGTACAGAACTACATTTCCCAGTGTGCAGCAGGCTCTGGGAAGGCGCTTTTGGTATTCGGCTTGACTGGGGAGTCGCGGCTGTCGCTGTCGCTGCTGCCGTCGCGGGCGCAGGTAAGTTAGGGTACTCCGGACGCGTGAGCGTTTCTCTGGGCGACAGCTTTTCACGACTGGCCTCAGGTGCCCGGACGCCAGTCGGTCTCGGGACCCGTGAGCTGAGGTCTGGGCCGGACGACTCCGTGGGCTGGTCGGCGGTCGGCCCGCTCTGTGGAGTGTGTGGCCGCGAGCCAGGTTGCTCCAGCTGGACCTGAGGCGCTGCGGGGGACGGATGGCGGCTTCTGAGGGGGTGGGCCTAGGCAGTTTAGGAGTCCCAGAAGCGCTTTTCTGTCAGCCCCCTGAGGTAGTGACCTGGCTCGGCTCCCCACAACTTTCCTCACACTTGTGACCCGATCACTCTTCACTTTTTCAATTTTGCTACAACCTTAAGGTTACCAGAACAGGCGCGGCGTGGTTGTAAGAGATTGTTTTGCTGTTTTGACCTATTTTGTTGTTGTTTGGGTTTTTTTTTTTTTTTTAAAAAAAGCTTTTACTAACAAAGGTCTGAACTTGCGGACACTGATGATGTATTTCAGATTCTCCAAAGAATATCACCAGGGAATCCTCTGCGCCTCAGGTTTTTTTTTTTTTTTTTTTTAAAAAAAAACCTGGACCTGTTTATCACCGAAGCCTTACTCGTTCGTTTCTCTTTATTTCTAATAAGCACACTGGAGCAGGCGAAAAAAGAAAAACACAGCCCTAACTTGAGCTTTCTTTCAGGTTGCCCTGCTTGGACTGTCATGAACGTTAAAGGAAGGAGGGAAGGTTCTCAGGTACAAAACTCACACTTTGAGTTAATAAAGCTAAGTCCTTGCTCACGGGTGCGTTTTTTTCCCTCAGTTGGGAAACCATAGGAGGCTTGTGTGATTGTTCACCACTTTGAAATGGTGTCTGGAGGTTTGCTCTCTCATTGCCCTTCCTAGTTGGAGTGTTTGAAGGTGTTTTTCCTTCCCCAGCTTAATATAAACTTTGTCCCCACCAATCTTTTGCAAGTTCTAAAGCCTTTAAGGGCTGCGAATGTACTTATCTCAGTGGTAAAGTATTTGCTTAGCTCCTCAGTACAAGCTTAAAGGTCAGAAGCCTGGCATCACAAGACAACTAAAGGCTTTGTAATCCATCATCTCTTTTTGACTGATATTCCTATATGGGGAGTTGACTATTTAACAATGAAAAGTGAGACAATAGCACCTATTAGAATCTATAGAAATGGTAACTAGGACCAGAGAGATGCTTCATTGTTTTAGGTCACGTGCTGTTCTTGCAGAGGACTCTTATAAATTCCCAGCATCCACTTGGCAGATCAAAACCATCTGTAACTCCAGGTCGAGGGGATCTGTTGCTTTCACAGAGACATGAATACAGACAAAACATCAATGCACATAAATAAATAAATATTATATTGAAAAAAGAAATGGTATTTTTAATTTACAGAACACTCCACTCTACCTCACCCCTCACTCCTCCCTCTGCCTTTGGGAATGCACAGCAAGCACTGTATCTTATCTCTAAATAACATCCTCTCAGTGCTTGTTTTTTTAATTTATAAAAAGAGTAAATGATTAATTTGAGAGCTTGACTCAGCTGGGTGGTGGTGGCGCTCGCTTAATCCCAGCACTTGGGAGGCAGAGGCAGGCGGATTTCTGAGTTCGAGAGTTCCAGGCTAGCCTGGTCTACAGAGTGAGTTCCAGGACAACCAGGGCTACACAGAGAAACCCTGTCTTGAAAAACCAAAAAAAAAAAAAAAAAAAAATGAGAGAGAGAGCTTGACTCAGTATTTTAACCTTATTTAACACCAGCTAGAAAACAGATGACAACAATTAAATGTTAGCATGGGGATTTCATGGCAGTTTTAGTTCAAATTTCTAAGCATGAAGGAATTTTCAGTTTAAAGACTTAGGAGAGTATATTAAGCGTCAGTTGTATTACTGCATAAGCTATCTTATATTTTTGTTTTGGTTTTTTCATTTTTCACAGCAAGGTTTCTCAGTGTAGATCTGACTGTCCTGAAATGCATGATAGCCCATGCTGACCTTTTATTCAGAGATCTGACTACCTCTGCCTCTGAGAGTGCTGGGACCAAAGGCGTGCACCACCAATATCCAGCTGTTATCTCATATTTTACAGCAATAATAAACTTATTTCCACAGTTTTTGTGGATCAGCAATTAAAATGAGCTTCCTGGGTATATCAGGCTTTGGGTCTTTAACGAGGACAGACTGAAGCTACCTGGTAAGTCCACTGTCATGTAAAGATGTGACAAGGGTCAGCTTCAAAGTTACTCATATGCCAGAAACTTGGTTTTGGTTGGTGGGCTATTTGAGTGACTATGTTGTGGAAATGTTAGTGAAATTTCCCCCTCAAGTTGCTTTTAATCAATGGTTTTTGTTGTAATAATAGAAATCCTAGCTAACATATACTAGGCAGTGATTTTGACTATACGGGTTAGCCCTGTTTATTATGGAAGACACTATATAAGCATTATAGTATCAAAAGCTTCAATGTTTTGGATCCATCTTATGGCAGGGCTTTTTAGAATTTTTCTGTCTTTGATCCCCTTTCGCTTGAAATGATGTTATTGGACCCAAGGTTATAAGGATTTAAAATACATACAAATGAAATGTTTCTGAAAATCTTAAATTTATTTTGAAATGATTCTTTATATATGTAATTTTACCATTAAAGGTAAAAGCAAGTTTGTGTGCTAATGATTGTGTGCTTATTTATTTTTATATACTGAATTAAATCTTGACTGAATATTTGATACTGCAAGAAAATCTTCAACTTTTCAGAGTTGATTGATTGATAGTTTGATTGTTATAATCATCAGTGCTGAGAACATTGCTTCACGTAAACAGTAATACATACCAGCAGAACTATGTCTAGGATCATTTCAAAAGTTGCTGGGTATTTTTTTCTATTCTCAAACCAAAATTAATTTAACTTTTTTAAAATATGAAACTAAAATCTGTAACTCAAACAGCAATTTTCACACATTCTAAAACAATACAGTTCAAAGATATAGTAATTAAATGCTTACATGCTGAAGAATTGCTATAGGAAGATACTAAACTTCTCTGTTTAAAACTCTTTGTTTTCTGTAATCAAGCCATTTTGAATATGTTTTTATAAGAGCAGAAAAATTTTGCATTTCCATTAAATACGCTGCAGTTCATGACATACAGTAGTCATGAATATGAGCCCAGGTGATTCAGCCAGGATTAGTTGGGGTTTTGTGGGTATGAGGGCATGTGAAATGCAATGTACTGTGTTCAAGGCTGCAGTGAAGTCACAGGATATAGTGGGAGAGTATGACCAGAAACACCTAGCATTCATTACACGTGATTTCCAATTTTTTTAGTCTTTGTGTGTTCAGAAACTTTAGTGTTGCTAATATAGGGTTGTACGTAACCCATAGTTTAAGAAGCTGAAATCTTGAGAACTGCTCACACTGGAAGCCCTCCTAAGTTAGCTTAAAAGGAATGTGAACTTCACCCTTGTATGAATATAAAATATGTTGTAGCACACGAGGATGCTGTGCTTACTAATTTTAGATCAAGTTGTTATAGGCTGGAGACATCTGGGAAGAGGGAATCTTAATTGAGAAAACGCCTCCTTAAGATTGACATAGGCAGGTCTGCTGGGCATTTTCTTTTCTTTTTTCTCTTTCTTTCTTTCTTTCTTTCTTTCTTTTTCTTTTTCTTTTTCTTTTTCTTTTTTTTTTATAGAACTTATAACTCCTGGACTCAGTTTGTCTGACCATGGCAGGCTAGAATGTTTTTCTTTTTCCTTTTTTTTTTTTCTCTTCTTGTTCCTTTCACCCTGCTGGAATGAAATCCTTTAGACAAGAGAAAAGAAGACTATTATAAGCCAGAAGGTTGAGCATGAATTCAGCTGTAATTTACAGTTAACTGTAAACTATCTTTGAAGGCAAACAAGTTTTGGTACTTAAGAGGTGGTTCTTAGAAGTTTGTTGACTGTTCATGTGTTAATGTTTTTAAGTTCTCCCTCCTAGCATTTTATTTTCTTCAAGTTCGTTAAATCTTATTTTATTTTTGCCATAGGGTCTCACTAAGTAACCTGCCACTGCCTCCTGAATGATGGAAGATCTTATTTTATATAACTTTACCTATTTAGATCATGAATGACCAGGAGTAATTGAAATTACTTGGCTTATAGCATTTGCTATATTCATATTGTCACTGCTACCTATTACCTGTTCTTTGGATTTCACTTTCATGTCCTGCCCCAACAGACCTGGTGATGGTTCCAGTCTTTGGCTACTGTATCCCAGCACAGGATGCTGCTTTGTACTACCAGTACCCACAAGCTTGAGACTGTTTATGACCATAAGGTATGGCTATACTTGTCTTACATTTCTTTTCTGGATTTGTTTTGTTTTGGTTATTGGCTAATGAATGGTATTTACTTGTTCTAAAGTAGGACTGGAAAAGTAAAACTGGTTTAAGACATGGACAGAGAACCTGTGATTTAAGAAAGAGTTGGAAATAGCTCAGAATAATAATGTTGATACACTGAGGAAAATGAATTCATTCATTCATTCACCCAGTCATTCATGAATATTTCTCCAGAGTTTTACTTTGTTCTTTTAAAAAGAGTCCTACTCTGAATAACTTATTATGTAGCTCTGTCTGCCCTAGGACATGTTACAATCTGCTGTAGCTTTTGAAGTGCTAGGATTATAGGCATATTTTATCTATTAATTTTTTTTTGATAACTTAAAACTAAAAACCTAAGTTTTTAATATAGCACATTTATCAAGGAACTTTAGGTCTAGTAGTGTTGGGAGCAACCTTGCTTATACACTGAAGGCCTAAATCAGCCATAGGCCTAAGTCAGCCATACATGCCTGCTAACACAAAGTCTTGGTCTCTGTGGGAAAACACTGGCCTGAGAACAGATAGCTATAGATCTTGTAGACAGTCAGTCAGCCTTGGTGGAAAACTACCAACCTAGATAAGAACAAGTAGTCATAGGTCTTGTGGATAGGTAGCCTTGGTGGGGGGGTACCAACTTAGATAAAAACAAATGAATCATAGACAGAGTCATAGTGACCTGTTCCCTGCATCTTCACCCAGCCAAAACTCTGTTCTGGAAGATATCTGTACTACCCTGAGAACACCTACGTTCCTGCATCATCCCCCTCCCCACATCCTGCCTCTATGTGTATATAACCCCTTTGTGAAAAAATTACAATCATGGTTTGATCAGACTATAGACAAGCCGTCATTCTTCGCATTCTCCTGTCCTCCAGTTCTCTCTTCCAGGTCCTTCCTAGTTCACCACCCCATGGGCCAGGGCAGGTAGAACACCAACCATATAGGTATTTATTCAGATCCAACTATATACAACCTTGTGCAAAGTATTTAAACATTTTTATTGCTTATTGTGTGTGCATAAGAGTAGGAGCATGTATGTCACAGTATATTTGGACATGAGAGGACACGCCTATCATGGGCTTAGGAGATGAAATCTACTCCTCAGGCTCGTGCAGGAAGCACTTTTGTCCAGTGAGCCATTTCACCAGCCTCAAAGTAGTTTTTATATCTACTTTACTGTTTTGTTCCTAAAAAAAAAAAGTTCTAGGGTAATTATCTCTATTTACAAGATGAAACTGGGGCTTAGAAAAAATGTATGCAGTTTTTTTTTTTGAAGTATTACCTAGTGAGTGACAGTGTATTAAGAAATGAAGAATTATGGTTAATCTGTTTTCAGGTGTAGGTAGGGCAAAATAAGCAATCTTTTAGGCAGCCAAAAATGCTGATCTGATGCTTAACGGAGAAGGCAGAGATTCAAGGCATTATCTTAAGGAGTGTTCCTGAAAAGTTGCTTGATAGCTGAAAGAGTAAGAAAAAGTGCGTAAAGACAAGTGAGAGAACCAAATGCTGAGAGTGATGAGGAATGATTGCCACGCAGAGAGCCTTTAAAGCTTCCATCAAGGGCAAACCTATCCATCAAAGGCAGCATGTGATTCAGAAAGCCCTCCCCTTGGAGTTTTTGTGTCTTTGGAAACCTGCAGGGCAATCTGATAGCCAGGAAGAAATGCTTTTGGGTGTGTTTTTTGGAGAAGTATGTCTTGTGGGAGCTCTGAGCACTTAGTATCTCTAGATAAGAGTGATATTCCCAGTAAAATAAAGTTGTTCTCTTTCCTTAGTGAAGGAAACTCAGTTCCTGTGAGTCTCTGTGGTTTAGCTTTTGCTGTGCTGGATGTATCAAGAAGATGAAAATAATTTTGTGAAACTTCAGTCCTATATAGCTAAGTGACAAATGGCTTGTGATATACTTTTTACTGTGTTAAAAATATATTTTGAATGTTTATTTTAGTTTCTAAAGATGTCTATCAAAGAGTCTTGTGGAAAGGAAGAAAAGTCTCAGAAAAAACAGACTTCTTCACCAACTTTTGATGAAGTAAGAATTTTAATTTGCTGACTTAATGATACCTTTTAAAAAAAAAAAATGTGTAATGAAAAGAAATGCACCGCCGGGCAGTGGTGGTGCACGCCTTTAATCCCAGCACTTGGGAGGCAGAGGCAAGTGGATTTCTGAGCTCGAGGCCAGCCTGGTCTATAGAGTGAGTTCCAGGACAGCCAAGGCTACATTTCCCTCTTTTTTATCTCTCTTTCTCTCTTTTGGTTTTGTTGTTGTTTTGTTCTTTTTGTTTGCTTGTCTGGTTGGTTTTTTTTTTTTTTTTTAGACAGGGTGTCTCTACATATAACCCTGGCTCTCCTAGACCTCAGTAGGGAGACCAGGCTGGCCTTGAACCTAAAGTTTTTCGAAACCCTGTCTTGAAAAACTAAAAAAAAAGAAAAGAAAAAGAAAAGAAATGCACCTTAATGTTACAGTGATATGTGAAACTTTATTGCAGATCTATGAGGTGGTTATTTTTATTATCCAAATCACAGATAAGAATTTGAGGCTTAGTGAGTAGTTTTCTTGTCCTTACTCCTCTGTATGTGCTCTCTTCAAGGCTGGTAATGGTTTCTTTGTTGCTAACTCCATAGTTAACTGCAAGAACAATCTGCTTTGGCATCCCAGTAGTGTTTGCTGTAGTTGATTACACCTTTGCCTTGAAATATTTTCCAGAATTGACTTCTGAGATAACGTTGCTTTGTTAATTTTCCTTGTCTCTTGGTGACTGTTTCTCAGATTTCTTTTGCTGATTCCTCCCTATATTTTTTCTTGAAGCAGGCTCTTCAAGGCATTGTTACTATAGCACAATCCAGTTTTAGACTCATTATCCCACTGTCTTAGTTGTCCTAAGATCTGGGGTTATAGGTATACATCGGTACACACACAGCTCTTACCCATTTCCCTCTTTTTATCTCTCTCTCTTTTGGTTTTGTTGTTGTTGTTTTGTTCTTTTTGTTTGTTTGTCTGGTTGGTTCTTTTTTTGGACAGGGTGTCTCTACATATAGCCCCGGGTCTCCTAGACTTCAGTAGGGAAACCAGGCTGGCCTTGAACCTAAAGAGATCCACCTGCCTCTTCCTCCTAAGTGGCGAGATTAAAGGGATGTCCCACTTACCCAGCTCTTTTTATTCATTTTCTTAAGCTATAACCTTTCAAGTACCCAAGCTCAGTTTTCCTATTTTAGTCAGCTGTGGTTCCATTCTTTCAGTTCAGGCCCAAACTTGGTACGTGGCAGCCAGTCCGTAATCAGTTTCTGTCAGTTTTATCTTTTTAACATATTCAGAGTCTCACTATTTCTGTTTTTACTGTTACCATGATCTTAGCAAAGAACTTGTTTTCCTTAGTTATTCCACTGGTTTCTAAGTTCTTCTCCCTGCCACTGCCTTTGCCTCCTCATGGCTTATTTGTAACAGAGTGGCCCATGTGATCCTATACAGTATGAGTCAGGTTATGTCATATCTTGGCTCTGTACTTTCTTGTGGATCCTCATGTTAAAAGCCAATTCTGGGACTGGGAAGGCTATCCACTCTCCCCTATTTACTTTACCATTCCTTTCTTGAGTACTTGGATTACAAATGTGTACCACTATGCCTGGTGCATGTGGTGCTAGAGACTGCACATGGGCCCTTAGATATGCTAGACAAGCTGTCTACCAAGTGAGCTACATTCCCAGCCTTTGTTTTTTGGTCTCCTCCATTCAGCTTGTCAGTAGAGTGTTTTAAGAATACATTTAAAAATCGCAGATCTTCCTACTTACAGCTCTTCATCTTTCTTGTCCAACTTCTCTAATTTCATCTATAGCATTATCTAATGTGCTAAACATAGTAGGTATGTTTGTATTTCTACACTAGGTTTAACCTTTATGAAGTTAAGAACTTAGGGTTTATTTTATTTTTTTAAGACTTAGCTCATGGTCTGCTATATCTTTGGTAAAATAGTAGGTACTCAAACAACATTGTCTTAAGACAATGCCTTTTAAGTTTAAGATCCACTGAAAATGGGACATAAGGTTTTGTCTTATGGATTGAATCCCACTGTGGCCATCTCACTATGTTCTTATCTGACTGTGTCGGCACCCAGGGATCTCATTTCTCCTTGACTCTTTCTTCCTTCTTACTAAAGTTTGTGTCTCTCAGTGTTCTCAGCTCAGTTTTGAATGAAAATGTCTGCTTACAATAGTGATTAAGTCATGCTTTATTTTGTGCTTTTCTTTTCATGTTTTCTCCTGAATGACATTCTTAGGACAAGAAAGAGGGAGAAATCTCAGCAGGTTCTACTAGTTCAGAATACTGTGTTAAACCTGTTTCAACCAAGAAGAGAAAACTGGTAAGTGTTCAGATACCATAACTCAGTGAATATTATTTTTCTTAAGGGTTTTTTTTTCCCCCAAGAGATTGACTCTTACTATATTGCTGGGCCTTGAACTCTTGGATGAATCAGTCCTTCTGATTAACTCTTTCTAGTAGTTGGAACTGGGCTTTGACACTCAGTTCAGTTGGACATAGTAAAGTTGTTTTTTTTTTTTTTTTTTTTTGAGACAGGGTTTTTCTGTATAGCCTGGGCTGTCCTGGAACTCACTCTGTAGACCAGGCTGGCCTCGAACTCAGAAATCCGCCTGCCTCTGCCTCCCGAGTGCTGGGATTAAAGGCGTGCGCCACCACCGCCCGGCTGGACATAGTAAAGTTTTAATGCGTAGTTGGTTTATGATATAAAATTTTTCTCTGTAGTTTTCTATAATTTTTTCTATTATGCTTAGTTTGTGAAAACCAATAGAAAAAACAATGTTTTGGTTTTCCTTTTTATTTGCCACAAGTAATATATTAGGTTTTTACTTCTTTGTTCATATGATTTTGTGTGTGTGTGTGTGTGTGTGTGTGTGTGTGTGTATGCACACATTGAGGCAAGAAGGCAACATTGAATATCTTTCTCAGTCATTCTCATCTTCTTGTCTGAAGCAGAGTCTCTCACTAAACCTGGAGCTTACTGATTTGGCTAGGTTGATTGGCCAATAAGTTCCCAGGATTCACTTGTCTTCACCTCCACAGTGCTAGGTCACACCTGTAATACCAGCACTCAGGCAGCTAAGGCCAGAATGATTGTTGTAAGTTTAAGGTTAGCCCTAGGTTAGTTACATAGCTATAGTTCAGCTTGGGGTATAAAGTGAGATTCCCATTTCCAAAGAAAGGAAGGAAAGACGGAAGGAAGGAAACAGTAAAAATAGGTTACAAAAGATTAAAATTATACTGTAAGACTAGAGCTTGTTCTACATGAGTAAGTAGTGAGTCAATGTGAATGTCTTGTGCAATAGTGTATATTAGTTTAAAGTTTAAAAATTCTATATACTTAGGCTGTATTAGATATATAAAAGAATTTTTTCAATAATAGATCAACCTTAATTTAACATAGCCTTTTCACTTTATAACTTTAGCACTTAGCCTTTTTACTTATTTATAATAACAGATTAAAAGACACATTATTAAATACATGAAATACTTTTTTGTATTTTTCTATGAATTTTTTCTATGTAACTTAAATTTTTTCTTTAAAAATTTTGGTTAGAAACTTACACACATGGAGATATACAGACACAGACATTATCAGTTTCCGCACAAGGTTAGGGTCAGAATCTGGCACACATGACAGCACATGGTGCTGTTATCTTTTGTGATATTAGTGCTTTCTTTGTCCATACCTCCATAGACTTGCTTGAGACTGTTTTTGAGAACTATCATCTTTAGAAATGTGTTTGTAGTTTTCTTGTTTTGTCTTCATAAATTTGACTAGTAAACAGACGATGTGTTACTTGCAGCATAAACATTCTCTTTTAATGGAAACCTTTTGTTGTTGTGGGCTGTTTTTTAAAACTTTTATGTAGCTTGTTGAAGTCTGCAAAAGCTTCTGTAGTAATCTTTCACTGAGCATTTTTCTTTGGAGTTGTTTGTGTTTTCTTGAGGTTTCCTTTTCTTATGACTTTTTGCAGCTACTCACTCTTTTCTAATTCATCATGGGTCACTGTTACATGTGTGGTCCGTCATTGATTGAAATACACTGTGGTATATGACCGTGATTAAATTTGTTTCAATTTAGTGTTCTCTGTATCAGTCTTTTAGTGCTGAGGATCAGACCAAAGGCCTTATACATACTGAGTGTACGCACTGCCAGCCCAAGTCTTATTTGTCCTTTGCCAAATTAAATTTGGTCCAGTATTAACTATTTAATTTATTCCCTTCTCACTGTCCTTTCCCTCTCCATTGCTACTCTACAAAGCCCCCCTTTTTCTTGTATATGTACTTTTTTTATGAACTACTTTAATGGTTTCTTATATCTTTCACCCTTCCAACCTTTATTCCACCCCAGTCCCTTCCATCCAACCCCCCAACATCAGGTAGGAGAGGGGGAAAGGGGTGTAGACCTCTTTAAACTGATTCCTGATGATTAAGGGTGTTGAGTTCCTTGGGGTAAAGTTCAATCTTCTGATCTCTTTGCTTAAAAGCACTTGACAGATTGTAGCAGACTACATAGATTTGATGATGGAATTGAGTCAGATATAAGTGTTTCAGATCAAGACAGTGCCACTGACCTTACTGTGATGATCAGAAAGCCACACTGTGTGAGTTTTGGGTGCTTTGTTTATAATAAAGATAATAATGTCTGCCCCAAGATGATTAGAAAGATTAAGTAAATTATTATGTCAGCCTATTTATAAGCACAAATGTTTTTCATTCTTCCTTGTAACTGCAACAATAGTACACAATTTATATTTTCCAAATATATTTTTTTAAATTTCAGAAACCAGATGATACAGACATTGTATACTATAATACAAACAGAAAACACAGTCTGAAAAGGTAAATTCTCTTTTTTTCTTGATATCTTTTTACAGTTTTGGCTCAGAATTAAACTAAAAAATCTTTTTTAGTACTTGGGATTGAACTCAAATACTTTTTGTGTGCTAGGCAAGCACTGGGCTATATCAACACCCTCGAGATTTAGGGACATAGTGTTGCTATCTATGTAGATCAGGCTGGTTTGGAACCTGCCTTGTACCCTAGGTTAGATCTTGAACTCAAGATCTTCTTTCCTTATCTTGAGCTACCATGATAAACATCAGGACTAAATATTTGTTTATTCAAATTTTAATTATTTTTATGTTTTATTTATTTTGTGTTGGGGGCATGTATGTGTGTCTTGGTGTGGCATGTTCGTGGAGCCCAGAGAACAACCAAGGAGAGTAGTTTTTTTTCCATTCTGTGAGGTCCATGCATCAAACTCAGGTTGTCAGGCATGGTGATGGCAAGTACCCTTACCCATCTTACTGGCCCAGGTCTAAGTATTTAAAATTTGAAAACCTTGTATTTACTTTGATTAGTACATGCAGATATTTCTGTTAATATCGTTACTAGAAGTTTAAGAAAAAATTAAGTAAAAATTTATCAAAACTGTTGTATAAATGCACTTAGACAATGTAAAGATTATTATTAACTCAAGGGACTTGGTTTTGATACATAATTATAATAAGATATGTAACTTTAGTATATTGCTAGTAGAGGGCTTGGGAAGCTAATTTAGAACTCATATATACATTATCTTTATATACTACCTGTGAGAAAATATGAAAATTTCCAAGTTATAGATATGGCTCTAGAATTATTTGAATTAACCATCATGTAATTACAACTAAAGATGTAAAGAATAATGGTAGACACAGGGAAATTAGTTTTCTTTAATTTCTTCATTCTTTGGATAAAAATTTCAAAGTTTAGTTAAGGAATTTTTTGTTAATAATGGGGATAAATATAAAAAGTATAATATATACATTAATTTTCAGACAGTTATGGTTACCCAGTTTGGGTTCTGGGAATGAAACTCAGGCTTTCTTCGTGAGCAGAACAAACTCTTAAGCACTGAGCCTCCAGCCCGGTTTCTTACATTTTTAAGAAGTTTAGAATGAGCCTAGTTAACTCTAACATAATGACACATTGCAACAGAATGTATGACAAATAAAACTAACCTAAGTTTCTGTGCTGCTTTATAGATTGAATGTAGAAGTTGGCATGCCTAAAAAGAGACCAAAATTCAGTTCTTCGACCCAAGTAGCATCATATTTAAATAATAATCAAATTACTTCACATAGTTGTTCATCAAATGGAACTAAAGATACTAAACTTAAAGATTGTAAATTGAGAAATGTTGGAAGTAAGCTTGATTATGAAATAAAAAAACATAGCCACATTAAAATTACCAAAGATTTGAAATCTAAAGCTGAAGGGCAGACAAAGGAAAAGAATTGGCCTTCTTTACTTATTCAGAAGAAGATGAAAGAACTCAAGAAAGAAAAAACCAATAAAGACAGTTCTGAAGAACTGGAGAAATGCAAGAAAAATCAACTTCCTCAGAATTATAATTTCAGCACTATAACCAAGGAACCATTTGAATCAGGAAGAAAGAAGATCAGCTTCAAAATTCCAAAAAAGTCCTCTAGTGCCCTCCAGAAGCCTGTAGAAGAAAATATCTTTAGTATAGATTATAGTAAGTCAAAGATTAAGCAGGAGGAGAAGGAACACTTGCAAAGTCACCAGATGTCACTAAATCTGGCCAAGCACAAAACTGAAAACTTGTTTTCAGATTCTACACATAAACAGACTGTTGGTGAGCAGTTAAGAAAGTACCATTGTGAGCACCAAAAAATGAATGGTTCAGATTCTCAGGAAAATCATACCCAGGTAATGTATAAAATAAAGGGTTTGTCTTTTAGTAAAAGTATTTAAGATACTCAGGTTTTGGTTGCTTCTGTTATTGGTGATAATCACAGAGGGCAGCTGATTCTAGTTTAGTCATGCAGATAATGTATTTGAGTCCTGTATTACTTTTCCATTCCAGCTTTTTTAGGATAATATTGATACCACCTGGTTTTGGAATCATAGCGGGATATCTGGGTTCTTGTGCTCTGGGACAAAGAACTGGACAGAGACATGTAGATAGTAAGCAAAAGGAGAGAATTTATTCAGAAAGAATCTCATTCTAGGCAGCGACAATTTATTAGGAGAAGATATACTTCCAACGGGAGGAAGCTGGCCTGGGCAGAGATGAACTTTAGCCATTCAGCTTCCTACCTACTGCACAAAGAGTTGCAGTTTTATGTTAATGTGGACTTTCTGGCTTATTTTAGCACTGGACTTTTCTATGGGTGCTCTGTTACATGTGGTTCTACATACAGCCTTGTGTGTTGCTTTGTCATATCTTAAATTAGAATCTTATTCTACCCAGGGTATATAGCATTATAGTAGGTGCACTTTCAGAGACTGGAGTACCTCTGTGCTTGTGCTATGGTGAGCGCTAGCCTTTCCTAGGGCAATGTGTGTGTGTGTCTGTGTCATGTTTCAAACTTCTTTTCCTACTTATTTTCCATATATGCTATTTTTGCCAAGGCTTTGTGAAACTAACTGCTGCCCTGTTCTGCTTCAGTCTCATGGCAGAAGTTAAGTATTCATAACAAAAAGGAATGTGGTTATGCCAAGAGTCAGTTCTCATAATCCTTTGACATAAGCTCTGTAGTAGTTTCTTAGGCTTTTCTAAACTGAGATAGACGAGCCTGCAGGAGTTACTGTTCTAAAGGGCTTATTTCTTTAACAGACTACTTTTTCAGTTCTGCTGTTTCAGATGCTCCAATAAAATAGCCTGTAAAAGACACACGGTCTTGATTCTAGAGACTTACTCATATAAAGAGAAAGAGTTCTTTAAATATAATAAAGTACTTCTCACTTAATATTAGGATGTATAATGTAAGAATAATACAGCCTTGTTACACTATAACTTAAGAGACACTGACTAGAGAGACCAACATTTATACTGAGAATAAAAGAATGGGTAGAGGTTACTCAGGTGAAGGTGAAATGGAATGGAATGGGGAAGCAGGAATATTTTAGGCAGAAGGTATTGCACTGTTTATATGAGAAGCTGTGTATCCACTGAGATTTCTTGGTTCTAGTGTCTTGGAACAAAGAATTGTGCAATTTGATAATTATAGGAATAAAGACTGATTATTAAGAAATATAATGGTGGTCCTGTAGGCTAAAGAGCTAGCACAAGTCCAAGGCTCAAAAGCCCTAGTTCCCTGGGGTTCTGATCACCTTCTCCCATACTTGTATATCATAAGCTTTTCTTGTGCATGTGTTGAGCTTACATGTAACCCTGGTAGAGATGCATTTTCAGTCTTTCTGTGAGCTGGCTTCTTTCATGTCCTAATCTTGATGCCTCTGTTGTGGTATAGCATGAACAGAATCTAGGCTAGAAACCTTGGCAAATTCTTTCTTCTAGATTACATTGGCATTTGTGAATCACCTTAATAATCACCTTTCTCTGACCTTTTCTATGGTAAATAAAATTATTTACCTTTAGGAGAACTTTTAGAACTTTGGAATATTATAACTTTGGTACTTTAAAATCTGGGTGTAATAACACACAGCTGTAATCCTAGCACCTGGGAGGTAGAGGCAGGAGGTTCAGGAATTTACAGGAATTTACTCTTAGCTATGTGTGAATTCAAGACCAGCCTGGACTGAGTTACACTAGACTTTGTCCTAAACATAAAACAAAAACACACAGAGAATCTGTGGCATTGCATGCTTATCCCAGTACTCTGGAGGCTGAACTTGTGTATTTTCACAAGTTCAAGGCTAGCATGTCTGCATATAGCAGAAGAAAAGAGACCACAACACATAGATACAGAAAGAAAAGTATTGGATGGAATCCAAGGTTAAATAATAGATGATTTTATATCTGTGCTGGTTTGAATGAGAAGCCCCATAGGCTCACATATTTGCTTAGTACCAGATTGATGAACTAACTGTGCAAGGATTAGGAGGTATTTCCTTGTTGAAGGAGGTGTGTTGCTCTGGGCTTTTAAGATTTCTAAAAACCAAGCCAGGCCTGGTGTCTCTTTGCCTGCTACCTGTGGATAGAATGTAGTTCTCAGCTGCTGCTCCAGTGCTATGCCTGTCTACTTCCTGCCATGATGATCATGGATTAACCCTCTAAAACTGTAAGCAAGCTCCCAATTAAATACTTCCTTTTATAAGAGTTGACTTGTCATGGTGTTGCTTCATAGCAATAGAATAATAACTAAGATTGTCTCATAGGAAAGCCTAGCATTTTGTTTTGTATCTCATAGATGGAAGAGAGGCACTGAGAGGTGATCAGGGAAGCAAGGTAGTCATGTTTTCTCTTTTAGAGTCAATTTGACTCCAAATAAAACTATTGACTCTGAAAGCATAGTAAGGTGCACTATAAGTAAAATGCCCACTGAGAAAATTTCAAAGACAGTTAACATAAGTACCTGCATTGTTATGTGATAGACTCATTGACCTCTTTGGAGGACACGTGATGTTAGAGAGCCTCGGGTAGGACTGGTCTAACAAGATCACATGGGAATTTAGAATGTCTAGTTACAAGCAGTTCTCATCGTTCTAGTTTTCTTGACATTTGAGATCTCTTAGACACTGGATTACTAACCAGGCAGCATACACCAGCTGATATGAGGCCCCAGACACATATACAGCAGAGGACTGCCGGGTCTGGGTTCAGTCAGAGAAGATACACATAACCCTCAAGAGACTGGAGGCCCCAGGGAGTTTAGAGGTCTGGTAGGGTGGGGGTGAGATATCCTCATGGAGATGGGGGTGTGTGTGAGGGGGTGGGGAAGAGGTATGGGATGGGGATAATCAGGGTGGACTGGGAGGGGGATAAAATCTGGAGTATAAAAAAAATTAAATAAAATTTTAAAAAAGTAATTTTAGTAAGATTTTAAGTAAGAGAAAAGGAATTATAAATCTCATATAAAATATTAAAGTGCTGGCACATAGTTGGAATTTATGGAAAGGTATTTCAGTCTCTATTAGAAGACAAAACAAAGCCGACCTCTAGTGCTCTCATTGTGTGTAATACAACTCTGGTTTTTTGCCTTTTCTCTTTAGCTATAATACAGTCTTTAGGTTTCTCCAGTTGTTTGCTTGGATCACTTTAAGAAATGGCTCAGTGAACTTTAGGGCTATGAAGTGCAATTCACTGATTTCTGAAAAAAATGTTTCTGCCACTGAAAGCCTGTTTGTTTATCTTTATTATGGATATTCCTCAAGGTGGCATATACTTTTGTTATTGAAAGATCAGTATCTTAATGACTATAAAAGTCCTAAAGAGTATGACTCACATTTTATGACTTGGTAGCACAGGGCCTTTCTCTTCTAGAGGTACTTGATGACCTGGTTTTGATTCCTGGGACCCACATGGCTGAGAGAGAGAGCTGACTTCCCTAAGTTGTCCTCCGCCGGGGGGCCCCCCCCCGCCCCCGCCCGGGGAGAAAGAACCAGTTCTGATAGATGGCAACTTGAGTCCAGAGATGCTGTTATACATTATACAAGGCCTGACTCAAAACTCTTCCATTTCAGGGTTTTGAAACGCCATGTTCTTCAGTGTCTTCTGAGAATATCCAAGATACAGATGAAGAGGTTACCGATACACTTATTTACTTTGATTATTTTAAAGAAATTCAAAATTCATTCTTTCTTCCTTTTGGGGTGTGTGTGATGTGGGACAGGGTCTCATTATGTAGCCCAGGCTGATTTCAAATTTGTGATCCTCCTCCTGTCTTGGCCTCCTGAATACTGGAAGTACAGGTATATACCAGGGTGCCTTGCTAAGTAGTTCCTACTTTTAGTGAAATGTCTGTAAAAACCTTAGCAGTATGAAAATAATGTCTATTTAAACTCCATAAAAATCCTATCCATCCTATGGTTTATTAGGAAGTTCAGTTTGTAAGTCTTTTTTGTTTTGTTTTGTTTTGTTTTGTTTTGTTTTGTTTTGTTTTGTTTTGTTTTGTTTTTCGTGACAGGGTTCCTCTGTGTAGCCCTGGCTGTCCTGGATCTCACTCTGTAGACCAGGCTGGCCTCGAACTCAGAAATCCGCCTGCCTCTGCCTCCCAAGTGCTGGGATTAAAGGTGTGCGCCACCAGCGCCCGGCTCTCCTCCTCTTTTTCCTCTTCCTCTTCTTCCTCATCTTTATTTTAAAATCTGAGACAGTTTATCACTGTGTAACTCAGGCTGGCCTTGTTCTTGTTGTATAAAGGAGACTGGCCTTGAATTCATGATCTTGTAGCCTCAGCCTTCTGAGGACTGGAATTAGAGGTGTATGCCACCACCCCAAGCCCATAGTTTAATTTTTTTATATCAAGATATCATCAGAGGTACTTCTAATGTGAGAAGGATCTTAAGATTTGTAGTTCAGAGCCAAGAAGATGGCTGTGGGTAAAGGTGGTTGTGCACAAACACTCTTTTGTTCCTCCGTATAAAATAAACTTTTAAAGTGTAATACAGTCAATAATAAGAGGTTTAGTATTTAGTTTCTGATGGTTGGTAAACAATATTAGAAATCTCAGGAACACTGGATGAGACATTTTTGTTTTTTTAATGGAGCCAGGGTTGAATGCAGAGGTTCACACATGCTAGGTAAGCTTTCTATCACTCAGGTATAGCCTCAGCTGACACTCAGTAAGAGAAAGCTGACTCAGGTACTTGGAGATGAGAATGAGAATGAACTTATTTTGATGTCTGTATGCTAGTTTTTATATAAGGAATTTTACATGACTTAGTTTAATAATATAAAATCCTTGCTGGGCTGTGGTAGTGTATACCTTTAATTTCAGCACTCAGTAGGCAGAGACGGATCTCTGAGTTTGAGGCCAGTCTGGTTTACAGAGTGAGTTCCAGAAGAGCCAGGGTTACATAGAGAAACCCTGTGTCAGGAAAACAAAACAGCCGGGCGGTGGTGGCGTACAATGGTGGCGCACACCTTTAATCCCAGCACTTGGGAGGCAGAGGCAGGCGGATTTCTGAGTTCGAGGCCAGCCTGGTCTACTGAGTGAGTTCCAGGACAGCCAAAACTACACAGAGAAACCCTGTCTTGAAAAATCAAAACAGAACAAAACAGAAAAAAAGGAAAACAAAACAAGAACTTCTAAAGAAAATAGGTAAAATTTAATATTCTTTATAGATGGGTAAATTAAGTTATAAAGTAGTAAAACAGTTCACTTTCCTAAGACTCCAGAAAGGAACTGGTTTAAAAATGGTTATAAATCCATGTTTTACTGTGTTGTCTATGTTTCTGTGAGGTGTTCTTGTGATGCATTGCTTTCTTTTCTTATTAAATATCTGCAGTAAGTAACTCAGGTACTTCACTGGAGTCTTTTACAACTTAGATGCAGATAGTAGAAGAGCTCCATGCTGCACGTGTGGGAAAAAGCGTGGATTTGCCTGTGGTTCCACCATCTGGAGAGTTAATGAGTATGGAAATTGACTTGGTGGAAGATGATGTACATTCTTCTGCTGGTATACTCTGTATGTTAATTTTTATGATCTCTACTTTTCTAAGAATTGATGTGTCAGTATTCAAATTTTACAGTATACATGAAAATGTTAAAATGTGTTCATTTAAAATCATAATGGTGTGTCTCTTGTTAGATCATGAGACATTTTCTCTTTCTCAACAAATAATAAAGTTACGCACTGTCTTTTATTCTTGCTCTTTTATAACTTTTAGTTCTTTTAATCTCTAAAGCACTGATCAGCTAGTTTGCTTGAAGGTATTATTTTCATGGTTTCCTTGTTAATATTGTAAAGTTTTGGTTATTTTAACTACTGGGAACTGGTAATAACAATCAAAGTACTGGGAATGGTGGTACATACCTGTTGTCCCAGCACTCAGGAATTGAGGGAGGAGAATTAACAGTTTAAGACCATATTGGACTACATAGGGTTTCAAGATAACTTTTTCTATATGATCTTATATATTCCTTGTCTCAAAATAAGTAAAAATAAATAAATAAGATTACCTAAGTTAGTATACCATGTTGGATTCTCTGTAAAAATTATAGTTCTACCTTTTGTCCATACTCATATTTTACAAATTTCTCAGCATTTTCCTATATGATCTAATAGGAAATTTAACCAGATCTTCACAAAGATCCTATGAAATAATGCTCCTACTTTTATATATCTTCTCTCTTTTATACATATTTAGCTTTTCAGTAATATGTTATTGAAGATATAATAAAATTAATGTATAATTCTTGAGTGCATAGCTACCAGGGATGCAGGGCAGGATTCAGAACCATAGTTACTGCTCGGCAGGTCAATTTGTGATTAAAATATATCCCCAAACAGTTTATTATAGTGTACTGGGTGGAAACTTATGATTACTGTTTTTTTTCTTAAGAATTAAAGTACTGGGAATTTTGTAGTCCTTTTTAAAGGACTTTTTCCTATAAGAATGTTCCCAAAAGCACTTCTATGGGTAGTTTTCTAGGCTTTGCTCTGTTGTTCATTCCTGCGTTTCTGCTTCACCAGGCCTTACCTTTTCTGACCTAGACAAGTCCTCCTTTACCCTCTTCTGCTCAGTCTCCCCAGCTTAAACAAGGTTGTGGGTTCCCTCAGGGAACCCTTGATTGGAAAGAAATTTACGTGGCAGCAAGTGATGGGCCAGTTAGGCAGCAGCTGAGAATCCTATTATTGACTCTCTTATAAATAACATAAGCTTACAAGACAGGTTTTAAATTTAAAGAAATTATCTGTACTTTTATGATACCAAATGTCATAATTTATTATTATCAAGTGTCAAGGAATACTAACTCTGCTCTTCTCTAGCAAATACTGCCTCAGACAAAAAGCTTCTAATTGTTATTGACACAAATATTCTGATGAATCATCTCAAATTCGTTAAAATTTTGAAGACGACAGAAATACCAGGTATTTATAAACTGCTCACAGATTCTGATTTTCCTTTTTGAGTTGGTACTTTATATTAACATAGTTGATTTTCTAGCAGTCATACTCTACCATCTGAAGTTTTTAAGAAGATACCTTTAATAGTTGAATTTTGAAATCTAGAATAAACTTTTAGATGGCATTTACTATATTTTAAAATTGTTTATTGTGAAATTGTTTGTATTGTAAATCTTGATTATAGGAGTCATGTCTGCCAAATTCATTCTTGTTATCTGGTAATTTTTAATGTTTAAATTCTTAGCATTCTTTTGGCTTTTAGATCCTCTTTAAATTTCATATTTTAGTTATATAATTTATTTGTGTTATTATTTGTGTTTTGTGTGTGTGTGCACACATGCACACAGGTACATATGTCCATGACACAGGATGTGTGTGGCAGTTAAAGAACAACTTGTAGACAACTTGTAGGAGTCTTTTTCTCCTGCCACCATGTGAGTCCTCAGGCTTGGCATCAAATGCACTTGCCCACCAAGGCATCTCCATGGCTTAGAGACTGTACTGTAAAACTTTGACTTCTACAGAAATTGGTTTAGTAGCTCAATACATGTTGAATTCTAAAAAAAAAAAAAAAAATCTTTCTATTTTTTAGGATTTGACACACTTGTGTTAATAATTCCCTGGGTGGTTATGCAAGAGCTAGATCGTATGAAGGCAGGAAAATTACTAAAACATGTCCAGCATAAAGCTATACCTGCAATTCATTTTATCAACGACAGCCTCAAAAGTCAAGATAGAAAGCTATGGGGTCAGTCATTACAGCTGGCGTCCCAAAAACTTTGTAAGTATTGTTTGTTGAGGGTATGCCTCGATAAAGATTTGTTTGGGTGCTTGCTTATTTTTGGAAGGAAATGGTGTAAAAATTAAGTGTGTAGGTTTGGATTGTGGAGTAAAAAAAAAGTGTGGTAATTTTATGACTCATGTTGGGAATCCTTTGTTTGTTTTATTGTTTTTTCTATACTTTGTTAGGCTATGTATGTCAGTATTTCTCAGAGTGATGATGGAGTTTTGTTCATACTTGACTATACTATAGAACTTTGGATCCCCATCTCTTCTTTTTTTGGAATTATTTACATTCCCATTCTATTGTTTCCTCTCCCTCCTTTCCCTCCGCCAACCTTTTTTCTTCTCTTGTCCCTTCCCTATCTTCTCTCCTCCGACCTTTCTCTCCTTTTCTGTCTTCTTTCCTCACTTTGTGCATTTTCTGCCAAGGGGCTATGGTTTTTTGTTTTTTTTTGTTTTTTGTTTTCCCCTTACACTTCTCTAAATGCAGTGTTTTAGAGGTTAAGGAAAAGCAGGCACAAGAAGGCACTGAGAAAATTTCAAGCAGGATGCAATTATATATTCATAATATTTGAGTGATGAGTTGTGACTAGAATTCATAGCTTTTGGTTTCTGGTCAGATCTTTAGCACTCAGATCACACTTCTGTCCTTTGAATCTGGGCATTCAGAGTGGTGAAGACATTGTTTTGCATCTTCATTTTATTTAGTGAGTTTTCTGCCTTTCAGATATAGATATAGATAGATATATAGATAGATATAGATATATAGATAGATATATATAGATATATAGATATATATTTGTATATAGATATCTATATTTATATATAGATTTATATATTTAAAAAACAAATGCTTAGACAGTTTTAGCTTCACAACAAAATAGAGCAAAAGGTATGGAAAATTTTCTTATCCTGTCTAGTCCCATACATAATAATTCTCTTATAATCAATACCTCCAGAATATACCAGAATATGGCACATGGCTTTAATCCTAGCACTTAAGAGGCAGAGGCAGGCAGATCTCTGTGAGTTTGAGGCCAACTGATTCCACATAGTGAGTTTCGGGACAGCTAAGTCTACAGAGAGACCCTGTCTCAAAAAACACAAAGGGAAAAAAAGGTATTAGAGTCAGTGAACCTACATTGATGTGTCATCGTTACCTAGTTTACATTGTGTGCGTTTGGAGAAATATATAGTGACATGTGTATCCACCGCCAGAGTAGCTTCAAAACATAGATATTTTTAATTTGTAAGTATTGCCTAGATTAATCAGGTGACATAAGATTTATTTTCTATATTTGTGTGGGATATTTTTATGATGTGCATGTACACACACACACATACACACACACACACAGAGACACACACACAGCTACCTCTGCCAAGGTTAATGTTTGGTGTCTTCCTTTAAGCAGGCACTTATTAACTGAGCTCTTGTCCCAGCCTACCTTGTCACCACCTCAGCTTTTTTTCCCCATTGCTTGCGTCTCACTCTAGTTCAGGCTAGCCTTGATTTGTCCTGTCCCAGCCTCTTGAAACAGGAATTACAAGCAAGGGTCAACTTGCTCAAGTGCTATCTAGATTTCTAATATACTTACTAATAGTTCCTTTGTTACATTTGCAGATGGATTGAGTGATGAGAACAATGATGATCGAGTATTGAAGTGCTGTCTTCAGTACCAGGAATTATTCCCATGTTCCCTTGTTATTCTGTGCACGTGAGTTTCATAGTCATTTTGTTTTTTAAAAATAATACCTTATGACAAAGAATTTTTAGGAATTATATTTACCAACTCAGGGATCAAATAATTACTTTGTAAATCTACTAATCATGCTCAGCTATTATTTTTTTATGATATGCGATTCCAGAGGAATATAATACTAAATAGGTGAAATTTTATTTTAATTTATAAAGTATTCAGAATACTTTCAAGAGAGGAAGAGTGAAAATTGGTATCAAAATCCTAAAGAAGTTTTTTTGATTTTTCAAGACAGGGTTTCTCTGTGTAGCCCTGGCTGTCCTGGAACTCACTCTGTAGACCAGGCTGGCCTTGAACTCAGAGATCCGCCTGCCTCTGCCTCCCAAGTGCTGGGATTAAAGGCATGCGCCACCACTGCCCGGCTAAGAAGTTTTTAGTTATATGAAGTAAGAAATTGAAGAAGTATTTATTCATATACAAATAGAGGGTAGCTTATGTTATATTATGTCATGGGTATCCCTTCTGCAGTAAATTTGGGCTAGAATCTTAGGCCTTTTCAGTTGACAGCTATATGAATCTGAAGCTCCTAACTTAGCTTTCTTGTGTTTAATAAACAGAAGAATTGTGCTTCATAAGGTTTATCAGATAGTGTATGTAAAGGAATTAGGGTGGTACCTAGCACATTGTCATATCTTCTTTTTTTTAAATTGAGACAGGATTTTTTGTAGTATGTAGCCCTGGTTGGTCTAGATTTGTTTGTTTGTTTATTTGTTTGGGTTTTTTGTTTGTTTGTTTTTTGTTTCACCAAAACTGGGTTTCCATGTGTAATCCTAGCATTCTGGAACTGGTTTTGTAGACCAGGCTGGCCAACCTCAAAATCAGAGATCTGCCTGCCTCTGCATCCCTAGTGCTGGGATTAAAGGCCTGTGCCACAGTCTCCTGGCTGGGCTGGTAACTCTTATATGGATTAGGCTGGCATCAAACTCACAAAGAGCCACCTGTCTCTGTTCCCTGAGTAGTAGACCAAAGGTATGTGCTGCCACAGTCAACATAATTTTTCTTTAAGTGATGATATTGTATACTGTGGAAGTCATCTACTGGTACCTCCTACTGTGAGGATACATCTGTCTGGTTGTCTGGATAATGATGTTACTGTTATCCGCTGTTGATGGTACTAATAGGAAAAACTTTGCATCACAGAGTATTATGCATTCTTTTCTTTGAAGATTTGGAAAACAAATTTCATTTAAAGGAGAAAGTAAGTGAGCAGGCAGACAGTAAGTGAAAGGAGGGGATCTGGAATCACAATGCACTGCTATGGATTATTTTAAGTGTTTTACTCAGGTTTATTATCTTAAAGCAGCTAACAACCTCAGTTATTGTATCTAGTTCATATGATTCTTCTAAGCTCCATACTAATATACTCACCTACTTATTTGAAATCAATCATCATTAGAAAGAAAAGAACTCCTTGGTTTCTCTTAATCTATTCTTTAAGTGAATGAAAAGTACCACATTTTATCCATTTCCAAAGCCCTACGCAGAGTCTTGTTGATACTATGTTCTCTTGGGTCTCTGTTATCTCCCTGCCACATTCCCACATTAAAACATGCTATTTTCCCTTTCTACTTTTAATACTATCATACTTTCTACTTCCACACCTGCTGCCAGTATTCTTCTAAATTAAAATAGTACTTTCTTATTTTTAAAGAAAGAGTTATATTATGAGGAATCCCAATAGTATTGAAAGTGAAGAAGAATAGACTCCTGAGGCTTGGAATATAGTCAAGTGGCAGAGCACTTATTTGTTGGGAACGACCTTGCTTAAACATTAAAGGCCTAGTCAGCCATACGTGCCTACTGACACAAATTCTTGGCCTCTGTGGGAAAGCACTAATTCAGTTAAGAACAAATAATCATAGATCTTATGGACAGGTACCCTTTGGTGGGAAAGTACTAGCTTAGATAAGAACAAATGACCAGTAGATCTCTGGACAGGTACCTAGCAACCTGTTCTGCTCTGCTTCTTCTGCGAACTTTTCACCCAGCCAATATCCTGTTCTTGAGAACATCTGTACTCCCCCTGAGAACACCTGCGCTCCCCAGAAACAAAGAGACCCTATGTCATCCCCCTCCCCACATCCTGCTTCTATGTGTATATGACCTGGTGTGGGAAAAAGAAACATTCAACAGCTTGGTCAGACTTCTTGACTTGCTGTCCTTTTTTGCATACCCTTGTGGCGCCGGCCCCCCCCCCCCCGCCGGGGGGTCTTTGGGGTCCCCTAGCCCCAGTTCACTGCCCCGCAGACCGGGGTACTTACTAGTGTCCATGAGGCCCTGACTCAATTCCCTTTTCCAGAAGGGAAGGAGGAATGAAATCCTAATATAGCTGCAACAGTTATTAGGAGTCTGCCATTCTTTATACATCTTTATTCCCTCTCTATCTAGCTTGATTATTTTTACATAGTTTTCTTGGTTTGAGGAAAAATGTACTTAAATTGCCGTGCACAAATATATTAATAACTGCCAGCATTATCAAATCGATAGTGGCATAGTTCATATTTCTCTTAATATGTAATATATTTCCATCATACCAGAAAGTACTGTTATGGCTTTCTTTGCTCCCCCCTCCCAACCCCTCAACTCCCCTTGTTTCTTAAGGTGAAGCTTAGGAGATGGAGAGATGTCTCAGCAGTTAAATTCATGCACTGCTCTCGCAGAGAATCTGAGTTTGGTTCACAGCCTGATGCTGGGGAGCTTACAACTACCTAAAACTTGAACTCAGGGATTCAGGGAATCTGAAAGCCTCTTCTGGCCTCTGTGGGTACCTGTGCATGTGACACATGCATTCATGAGCAAACATACACAAATACTAAAAGAAAATAAAAAAGCATCATACAAAAATTGTGGACTATAACCAGTGTTTAAAGAGAAGTTTACAGAAACTTTGAATAACATAAGCTTTAATCTTTAAGTATTACTTTTGTAATTTTTAATTATGGCTATGTGCATATATAAATATGGGTATGTACACATGAATGCAGGAATCCTCAGAGACCAGGGGCATCTGGTACTGTAAACGGGCAAGAAACACCCTTAACCTGGAGAGTGACCTCTTCAGTCCCATATAAATTTTTTTATCAAGTTAATTTTTAAACTTTTTAACCCTTTTTTAATGTTTCTACTGATAATTAGTCATCAACCTTGACCTGTATGTTTGAATTGACATATAGTTGATCTTCTAAAATGTTTTTATTTTCCCCAACCCCCACCTTTAGGGATGATAGAAATTTAAGAAGTAAAGGCCTGATAAGTGGTGTGAAGTCACTCAGTAAAGAAGAACTGGATACAGAGATAATAAATTTAACTCTGAACACAGATTTGTGTCTTCAGCCTTGTATTTCTAAGCAGCAGTTGAAACCAGGTAATATTTTTACTATGAATAATTAGAAATATGTCTTATGCCCTAATAGTTTTGGTAACATTTGAAACTAATAACAAATTTTCATTTTGTACATTTAAAATAATAGTAAGTTTAGAACACTTGCTTATATATATTAAATGAATACATGTAAGTGGGAGGGAGGGGAGTATGAGACTGGGTTTCTCTGTGTAACTCTGGCTGTTCTGGAACTTGCTTGGTAGATTAGGCTGGCCAGGAAGTCAAAGAGATCTGCCTGCCTCTGTTTCCTGAGTGCAGGATTAAAGACATGCACCAGCACCGCTAGGCTGGAAATAGTCTTTGGAAGTGGAACTTTCTAATGCTTTTATAAAATTAGTTTCATGTTCCTAACCCCCAATTAATATAGAAAAAGCAAATATACAACTTTAGTTAAAAAAATTTTTTTAATTTAAACTAATAAGAAGTATAAGGGCAATGCTGCCTTTTTATTAGAATAATCTATTGTGACTTGATATTTGATGGACTGTTATATTGCATGGCACTATATAAATGTGTCCCAACTTTCCCATCTGTGGGAACTTACCTTCAGTGCTTAGGAGTACCAGAGTTCAGTTTTCAACATGCACATTTGTCACACCCATGTAGAATTCTAGCTTTGGGGATCTGTCTACCTTTTCTGGCTTCTTCTTTGTGAGGAAAGTAATGGTTGAGGTTTTTAATATTAGGCATACTTTTATAGGTATTTGTATAAATATTAATGCTTCCTTCCCTTTTTGGGAGTAGTATATTTTTGTAATGATATTCAAAATATCATTCCTTGGGAAATATTACAAGATATTTTTTTTTTAAGTAAACTTTTAGTTTGCTCATTATATTACAGTCATCTTAAACCTTAGCTTGTATTTGTAGAGAGTTCACTTAGTATTTGATTTTTTTTCCATAAGAAAATTTCAGTTATTTATATATATAAATGTATAATGTTAACAACTGAACTAATAAAAGCTTATTTTGAAAGAGGATGGCATGAATGTAGATAAGCCAGAAACTTTGGTAATTTTAAAACAATTTATTGATAATGGATTGAAATAATGTACTGTTTTGGGAGGAAAAACAATTTTGGTATAACTGCTAGGTATTTGAAAAACAAACCGAAAACAAGACATTCTTATAGTTTGAAAATAATAAAATTCATCTCAGCACTGAGAAGGAGAGTGGACACAAAGTCTCTCCCCTAATCAAGAAACTATTTATGATTGATACCTGCTGGAAAAGAGAAAATCAGTTTTTTCCAATGAAATCTCAACTATAGTCCAGGAGTAGTAGTTGGCTAACACAAACTGGACTCTTTTTTTCCCTCCTTCTATGGGCTTTTTGTTTCATTGTTTCATTTTGGAATTTTTTTTATCTTACTGGTTTTTTGTTTGTTTTGATTTTTTAATAATAAAAAGCAGTACCATAATGTTGAGATGTGCAGTGTAAAATAAAACACTTGCTGCACACACACAAAAAGAAAATAATAAAAATGAATTTAGTTAAAATAACATTTCCCCCATATATCTGTTTGAGTTAAAAAAAATTTTAGGGTGTTTATGTTTGTTTTGGTAAATAAAACCCTAAATGTGGACTGAGGAGGCAGCTCCCCTGGGAGGATGCAGCTCCCTGGGAAAGTGCTCTCCTAGCATTAGTATCTCTTCCTTCATGTTTGATCCTAGTCCCACACGAACCTGGCATGATGTGAATGGTTGTAATCCAAGCACTGGGCAGTGTAAACAAGAGGACCTGAAGGGCAAGATCAGCCTCAGTGATATAGTAACTTTGAAACCTGCCCCCCAAAACAAAACCAAAGATAACCTCCTCTTTTAGTAACACCTGAAACTTTGTTTTAAAGAAGTACCACCTGTAGAAGAGACTTCTAAGGAAGAATCTTCAAATTCTGAACTATCCATTCTACTTGAACGCATTATATGTGATCTTGAAAAATGTCTTGGGACAGCTCTATCTTCAATATTAGAAACAGAAATGAAAATTGCTTTTGGAAATCTTTGGATGGAGGTACTTATTTAACTATATTAGTTAAGATTTCTTTCTGTTTTTGATGATTTCTTATCTTAGAAGGTATTTGTGTAAATTAAAAAGCTTTACAGCAATCCATATCTCACATTTTCTTTAAATTTTATAACTTAGAAAGTTTTAAATTGATTTTATATATTTATTTTGTGTTTGTGTATTTATGTGCACAAGTGTGTGTATGTGTGCAAGCATGTGTTTGTCATGGTGCTCCTGTGGAAGTCAGGACAAGTTGGCAAGAATTGGTTCTCTTTTTCTATTGTGTGGGTCCTCTAGATTAAACCCAGATTGTCAGGCTTGGTGGCAAATGCCTTAATATACTGAACCATCTTTTGATAATTATATGATAAAAATTTCTTAAAGATTAGGACTATATAGTATTTACTTACTTTGAACAGAGCAAAAGGAGATATATTTAGGAAAAATAAGGAAAAGGGGGTACTTTACCGGAAGAGAGGATTTTGTTTTGTTTTTTTTTTGGTTTTTCGAGACAGGGTTTAAGTGTGGTTTTTAAAAATTAGCTAATAGTTATTGTGTATATACTATGAATATTTGATACATTAGTCTCCTAGAGCTTAAATTGAATCCTTAAAAGTCTTACACAAGGACTAGGGATATAGCTCAGTTGGTAGAATGGTTGCCTAGCATGCATGAAGCTACATGTTTTATTCCCAATGCCACATCAAAACTGTAGAGTGGCACATGTCTATAATCCTAGGAGTTGAAGGTAGAGGTAAGAGAGTCAGGAGCTCAAGAGCATCTTTGGTTATGTTGGAGCTTGGGATGCAAGAGACTGTTTCCAAATAAAACAAGCAGTCAATACTTGGCTTGCTCAGTTTAATTTGGTTAAAATGTTTGACAAAATATCTGTATATTTGACTTTGATGCCATGTAAATATGAGAGTAAAGCATGATCATAAGATATTTTGAATTTTTTTTAATTTAATATCTTTTCTACATTTAAATGAAACACCAAATTTATCGAGCATGATTTCTTCCTTAGTTTAATGTTTGTTTCACATTCACATTTGTAGCTAGGGGAAGTGTTTCAGCCCATAATATTGTAGCTGAGGTATTTATTCCAGCTACTCACCAAGATCTAAACTTGCCAGTGTGATATGTTTGTTGCCTAATGATCGAATGCTGATCCAAAAATAATAAAGAATAATAAAAAGGATCTTGGAGGATTTGTATAAATTGGACATTTCATAGAAAAAGTCATTGATATCTTCCTGAATTATTTATAAAGACCTATATTTATTTATAAATATATCTGTCAGTTATCTATAAATATGTCTTTGTAAGTGTAGTAAATGATAATACCATTTGATTAATTTTTTTCTATATAGATTTCCCCCTGGTAGTATGAAGCATTTAGATTATTTTGATTATGGAAAGAACCATTTAGAAAAGTAGATTGAAAGGCTAGAGTAGTTAATAGCACTTGTTCTTGCAAAGGACCCAGTCAGGTCTCAGTTTCCACATGGCCACCCACAACTGTAACACCTATTCCAGGGAATCTGATGTTCTCCTCTGGCCTCTGAGGGGACCAGGAACACACATGGTATGCAAACATATGCAGGAAAACTAGCATTAACTTTAAAAAAGGTAGGTTGAGGTACCTTTCTGGTTTAAAACTATGCTACTTCACTAATTAGAGTTTGCTTTCTTTGTATACTAAAAAGTTATGAAACTAAGGTTAGTGATATGAATTTTATAAAATCAGTCTGTAATAGACTCACAGTTTAAAATTATGATTAGTACTTCTTAATTTAAAAATAGTCTGACTAGTCATATTTTTATTAGGGATATGTATAGAAGTACCTACTTTGGTGTGTTTACATAATAGGTAAAATAAATCAGCAGATAATGATTTTGTAATACTTTCTAGGTGCTGTATTTGAAACCACCGTGGACTCTAATAAATCTATTACAGTGTTTTAAAAAACATTGGCTGGCTGTATTTGGATTAGTTATGGAAAATAACTTGCTTGTAACTATTGAGAGCCTATATGAAAATCTCTCTAAAGGTATGAGTCTTTTTATTTTCTTTCACAATAGTTCATTTAAGTATTAAATCAATCTAGTGTGATGGCACATGTTTGTAATCCAACCACTTGGGAGGTGGGGGCAAGAGGATCAGAAATTCAAGGTAAACTTCTATTATATAGTGAGTGCAAGGCCATCCTAAACTATATTAGACTCTTTCTAAAAAACAGACAAACAAACAAAAAAACAACCAAAAATGGGCTGAAAAGATGGCTCAGTAGGTAAAGTACTTGCTATCTAAGCATAATGACCACTGTTCAGATCCCCAGAGCCCAGAAAAGGTTGGGTGTTGCAGTGTGCTCTAATCTAGCTTGGGAGAGAAGACCTGTAGATTTCAGGGGCTTGCTGGCCAGCTTTCAGCTATAGCTCCAAATTTGATGATACACTGTTTGAAGCCGGGCAGTGGTGGTGCACACCTTTAATCCCAGCACTTGGGAGGCAGAGGCAGGCAGATTTCTGAGTTCGAGGCCAGCCTGGTCTACAGAGTGAGTTCCAGGACAGCCAGGGATACGCAGAAAAACTCTGTCTCAAAAAAAAAAAAAAAAAGGAAAAGAAATCAAAGTAGACAAACAATTGAGGAATACATCAGGATGTCAAGTACATACATGCATAGGCTCCTTACAACATACTACATGTGTACATGCATGCAACGCATGTGTGCACACACACGTACAAACATTAAAAAGACTGAGGAGATGTCCAGTCAGTAAAATGCTTATAAAACAAGAATGAAGAACTGAATTCAATCCAGCACCCATGTAAAAAAGCTGGGTGTGGTAGTTTGTGCCTGTGCTGGGGAGGCAGAGACAGGATCCCTAGGGCTTGTTGGCTTGTCAGTCTAACTCCAGATTCAGAATTTTGAGACCCTGTCTCAAAAAATGAGGTGGAAAGTTAGGAATCAGCTAAACCCAGAGCTTATCAATAGGGTGCCTCTTGCTAGCCAACTTACTCTGTGATTCCATCTCTTCCCTTTGAGTCTAGAAGTACAAATGTGTGGGTCACCACAATCACCTAGCATTTCTAGGAGTCCTAGGGATTTGAACTCTGGTCCTCATGGTTGCACAACAAATACTTGTAGCTATTGATTGAATCATTTCTTCAACTCCATGAGTGGCTTTTTTAAAGTATTCATTAATAAAATTTATATATTCACAATGTCTAGAAACATTAACAATGATACCATTATTATTAATGGTTTCAAAAATTCTTACCTAGCTGCTATTGTGGGGTTGTTTTCTTAAGGAGCAGTGTTCTGCCCTTACATGTAACTAAAAGGTTGTTATTTGTAGTAGTTGTTGTTATTTGTAGTAAGGAGAAGAACTAAAGATATTATAGCTCTATCTTCTTTTTTCTTTTTGTTTTTCAAGACAGAGTTTCTCTGTGTTGTTTTGACTGTCCTGGAACTAGCTCTGTGGAACAGGCTAGGCTTGAACTCACAGAGATCCACCTGCCTCTGCCTTCCTCCTACTGGGATTAAAACATGTACCACCACTACTTGACTTGGCTTATGTTCTATTAAAAATTATTTTTGCAGTCACTGGATGCCTAGTTATTGGGTCTTGATCTGGAATAAACCTCTTGTTTAGAGGCTTGTGGAGAATATGTAATTCCTTCTCTAAGGTAATTTTGTTTGTTTTGAGATATGATACGATCTTATGTCGTGATCTGGCCCTGAATTCAGTATGTAGTTTAGGATGACCTTGAACCCATATTTTTCCTGCTTCCCCTTCATATGCTGAGATTACAGGTATACACCACCATTTCCAGCTTTTAAAATGATTTTAAATTAAAAAAATAATGATGTATAATGTCTTTGAATAGCAGTGTTCATAGTCCTTGCATTGTACATGGGTGTGACTTCTGTATACCAAGCTTAATGTCCTTATATCAATTCATGGAGAAGTGTTTAGAAATGAGTGTATGACTGGTTAACTTTCAGTTTTATTTCTATATGAATTTTTGGTTTTTATTATATATGTATAGAATTCATTCTTATTTTGCTTTCTTTCAGAATTTTAACAAACACTATTTTTCTCTTTTTTTTTTTTTTTTTTTTTTCTCGAGACAGCTTCTCATGTCTCAAATGTCAATTTTGACGCTTGCCAAATAGTTCAGCCAAATAACTGAGGCTGGCCTTAATCTATTATTTCTCCTCTTCAGCCTTTCAGGTGCTGAGATTTTGGTGTATCTGTGTACCCATTAATAAAGCCTTTTTTGTAAGTGGAAATTGAATTTATTCAAGGATATAAGTCCTATTAAACACAGACTACCTTGGAGAAGCACTTTTTAAAGAAGCTGTACCAGTTAGGTCTTCCTTAGATTTATGCAGTTCATCAGCTCTGCAGTCTGTTCTACATGGGACATCTTTCTTTTTTTCCCCCAGAGAAATTTAAACTAGTCATTGACTTTTAAAAGAACTAAAAGTGTTCTTATCAGGAAAAATGGTGATTTGGTGTGGGAGGTGGGAGTATGGATAAAGTGAAGAGTCTTGGCTATAATCATCCTAGTAAGTTAGAATTGTTAAATATTGCTGGATGTGGTGGCACATACCTTTAATCCTAGTACTTAAGTACAAAGCCAGTGTGGTCTATATAGCAAGTTGCAGGCCAGCCTGGTTACACGATGAGACCCTGTCTGAAAATACAAAATAAGTATAAAATAAAAAGAGTTACTAATTATTCAACTGTCTTTTAAAAAAAGACTATTACTTTTATTTTATGTGGATGTTTTGCCTGGTCATTCTATACACATGCATGAATGCCAGAAGAGGGCACCAGATTTCTTGGAACAGGAGTTAGGGTTGCTGACCACAATATAGGTGTTGAGAATTGAATTCACATCCTACACAAGTACAAGTGCTCTTAAGAGCTGAACCATCCTGCCGGGCTGTGGTGGCGCACGCCTTTAATCCCAGCACTTGGGAGGCAGAGGCAGGCGGATTTCTGAGTTCAAGGCCAGCCTGGTCTACAGAGTAAGTTCCAGGACAGCCAGGACTACACAGAGAAACCCTGTCTCAAAAACCAAAAAAAAAAAAAAAAAAAAAAAAGAGCTGAACCATCTCTTCAACCTTTAAAATTGTTTTAAAATTTTACTTGACTCTTCAGAACTTCATAAGTAGACTCTTGTATGTGATACACAGGGATGCTTTATTCATTTTTAACTCACATTGCCAAGGAAAGCCATGTTCAAATGTAAATATAATAGTTTCTAGAGGCGAGGGTATAATTAATGAAGTGCTTCCACATACTCATAAGGCCCTGAGAACTCAATCCCCAGACTCCTGTAAGAAAGCTAGGTGCAGTAGTGTGTGTTTGTATACAAGGATAGGAGAGAAGACAGGTGGATCTCTGGGGATTGCTGGCTAGCTAGCTTAGGGGGGGCCCAGGCGAGTGAGGGACCTGATTTAAAAGCACCTGTGAGGAAAAACATTTGAGGTTGGTTGGAGTGAGTGTGTGTGTGTGTGTGTGTGTGTGTGTGTGTGTGTGTCTGTGTGTGTGTGTCTGTGAAAACAGCCTCCAAAACCATGAATATTAAAACAGAAGGAAAGCAAACATTAACACATGATGATTTTGCCTTTGGAAGCAACTACCTATCATTATGCTTTAATGATGAAAAGATAGATCTTTTCTCTCATTTGTTTTGTGATAATAAAATTTACTTTTCTTTTTAAATGTTTTTTGTTTGTTTCAGTTTCTCACTATGTAGACAAGTCTGGCCTTGAACTTGTAGCAATTTCCCTGCCTCTGCATCTTGAGTACTGGAATTATAGGCATGCACCACAATGTCTGCCTTTTTTTTTTTAATAACTTTTAGACCTTTGAAATGATTGTCGCTAATAACTTGGGAATTTAGTGGAAATGTTTTAGCCTCTTGAGAGAAAGCTATTATGGTAGGTTATCTTACTTTACAGGAGGAAAAATCTAGCTTTTGTTTCTTATTGTTGTCCAAAGTCTCCTTATTAGCTGGACTCTTGTGTACAAAGAGTTAACATACCATTTTCAATAAATCTTGTTTTACATGTGATAGAATTTCAAGTTGCTTGCCTCTAACATGTGACTCACTCCTTTATAATAGTCATCTGGATGTGTGACAGTTTCAGCTTTGAAAACTCTGTGCTTGAGTTTTTTGTTTAGCGATTAATACTTTTTACTGAAGAATAAAATATCTTACTTTTCTTTCCTTTGAAGTTGACTGTGTTCAATGAACTAGAATCTGAATACAGAATACCAGAGTCAATATGAACACTTTGCCTATGAATAAATGTGTTCAATTTTTGCTTTCTATACCAGAGAGACATATTAGTTTTGACATGGATATGTAAATGTCTACTTTGTTTAAATTATAAAATTAATACTTGATTAGTGTTTCAAGGGATTGTTGTGTTGTATACCTGTTCTTTCATATTTTTCTTAATTTTTCTCTTACCAGCAAATAAGGCAGTGGATTTTACAACAGTGAAATTCTTGCTTCAGGATTCTAAAAGTTTGTTACATGCCTTCAGTACAAGGTCAAATTACGATGGAATTCTTCCCCAGACCTTTGCTCAAGTAAACAAACTACTACAAGTACTTGCAGAGGTGAGATACCCATAGAGTGTTATTTAGAGTAGCTCATCACATACATTCCAAACATGAATTTAGTGGCCAAATATAAAAGGATTCTATTACCTTGACTTATTCTAGTATTCTAAAGGCATTGAATAAATACAAATTACATTGACATATAGACAAGTCATATCATAGGTTATGGAACATACACCTTCTATAAAAGTTGTATCACAATAGTTGTTGAAGTATTCATTCATTTATTTAATTTATTTTTTTGAGATAGAATTTTTGTATGTAGTTCACCTAGTCTCAAATGCATGTGTTTTTCTTTTTGGGACTTTGTAGTATAGAGATTATGGGTACACACCACTGTACACTTTAGATTTTATTTTTTTCTTGTTGAATTTTTTTTTTATTATTTCCTTTATGGACAAGAGAAAGTTGTGCACACACAAAAGAGGGGCTGGAGAGATGTTCCTCTTGCAGAAGATGTAGGTTCAGTTCTTAGCATTCTTAAGGTGGCTTACAACCATCCTTAAATTTAATTCCAGGGGTTTGATACCATCTTTTGACCTCTTCAGGTACCAGGCATGCACCTGGTACACATATATACATGCAGCCAAAATACTCATACACATAAAATAAAATAAAAGAACAAAAAAGTATGTTTTTTGAATTTTTTTTTTTTTTGAGACAGGGTTGCATGTAGCCTCTGCTAGCCTCAGATTTGGTATGTAGCCAAAGATAACCTTAAGTTCTTGATCTTCTTAACCTTTATTTCCTGAATACTGGGATTATAACTGAATACTATCATTCTTGTTTAGTACTGGTTATCTAATCTAGAGTGTCTATCAACTGAGATAACATCCTGAACCCTAAAAATATATTTTACTGAGAATTGTTTGTACAATTCATTTAGATTCAATGCATGCCTTTAAAAAAAAAAAAAAGATTTATGTATTTTGTTATCTGAGTACACAGTTGCTGTCTTCAGACAGTCCAGAAGAGGGCATCAGATCCCATTACAGATGGTTGTGAGCCACCATGTGGTTGCTGGGAATTGAGCTCTGGACCTCTGGAAGAGCAGTCAGTGCTCTTAACCACTGAGCCATCTCTCCAACCCTTGATACATGTCTTATTTATTTATGTCTCTAACTTAAACAATAAATAAATAATGTTATTTCCAAAAATAAAATATCTTAATAGAACTTGAAAAGTAGTTTTAACTAATTAGGTATCCTAGAGGAGATAATTTTTTTTTCCAAAGGGGAGGAGGTTTATTCAGGGCAGAGGGCAAAGGTGGGGAGAGAGAAACAGAAGAAGATGGCGGAGAAAGAGGAGAAGTAGAGGCCAGCCTTGACTATGTGGAGAGAGGGGGAAGGGAAGGGCGGAAGGGCGAGGGGACAGAGAGAAGCTAGAGGAAAGAGAGTAAGAGCAAGGAGATAATTAATTAGCCCCATTTTTAGATATGTGTCTAAGGCGGGTGGAAGTAGGAAAAGAATAACCATCTGTAATGAGATCTGATGCCCTCTTCTGGTGTGTCTGAAGGCAGCTACAGTGTATTCATATATAATAAATAAATAAATCTTATAATAAATAAATCTTAAATAAATAAAACATGATTAGTGATCTTTAAAAAAAAAAAAAGAAGAATTCAAATCAATTTTGTTGATTAGGTTTAGATTTTACATATTCAGGATCCTGTCCTGTGGGGTTTTTGTTGCTTTTTTGGTTTTTTGCCTCTAGTACTTTAAATTCTTTGAATCTTTAAACTTCTCTTCTTTGTAAAATAAGTACAATAATAATTCTTAACTTAGAATTCCCATAAGAATGAGCTAAGTTACTGAAGGTAAATAGTTGGTGCTATGTAAGTGTTTATTTTTTTTTTTAAAGCCCCACTTGAATGATTATGTATACTCTTGATTTAAGAGCCAGGGCAAAGGAGGAATACATAAATGCTTAATTTTAAATGTTTATGGTAATTAAAACAGTTACCTGGGTTGTAGATATTGCTCAGTGGGAGAACAAGTTCCTAATTTAATATAAACAGACAAAATGAGATCATCTGTGTTTGCTTTCTGCCCTACAAAATAGAGAATGCTAAAACCTGTGCACTTGGTCTGGGATTGTAACCTCCTTTGTGTATATCTGAGAATCAAGTTTTTCTTAGGCATCTTAACATCTTGAATAAGTTTTTTAATCTTTCTCTTTCTTGTTTTCCTTTACTTAAGAATCTGAATTGTTTCTGTTTCTTAGGGTTTCAGTTCTATGTCATAGTATTGGGTATTCATGAGAATTTAGTGAGCTAATATAAAACCTTTAAAGATCTGTATACAGCATGTTTGCATAAATAGTAACAGTTACTATTTATAGTGTTAGACATTTTGTTTAAAACATTTTAAAACAAAAATAGTAAGACATGAAGTTTGAGTTACTGATGAGTTTTGAACTCATCCTTTTATTAACGTGGAAACTTAACTCTAGGGAAATAAAGTATTGTTTTGCGTTGGCCAACTCTTCTTGGGCATTGGGGTCAGCCTTAAAGTATGGTTAATGTATCCAGTGAGACTCCATTGGAGAAAACTAATTTTGCCTTTATATGTAGGTATTAATTGCAAATAGCTTCTTGGTTAGGCTTGAGTGCCTCTGTCCACTTGACCCTCTTAGTGCTCAGACTCCATCTGTCTTGAACCTGTGCAGGCCTTGTGTGTGCTGCCAGTGTCTGTGAATTCATGTGCTTCAGTCTTAAGTCTGAAAGACAGTTCCTTTGGGGTAATATATCAACTCTGGCCCTTAAAGGTATTCCATCTCCTCTTCCACATAGATTCTTGAGCCTTGAGGGAAGGGCTTTGATGAAGAAATCCCATTTAGGACCGAGTACTTCAAAGTTTCTCACTCTGCACATTGTGGAATCTCTGTTAATTCCCATCTAGTGCAAGAAGCTGCTTCTCTGATGAGGGCTGAGCAAGGCACTAAACTATGGATACAGCAGTATGCCATTAAGCATCGTTTTATTGTTGTTGTTATTTTCACAGAATAATAGTACTAGGTTTTCTCTAGTCCTATGACCTATCTCAGATTCTTGACCACTTTAGTAGTATCAGAGATAGGTTCCATCTTAAAAGTGGGCTTTAAATCCAATCAGAAAGTAGTTGGTTATTCCCATTACATTTGTGTCACCGTTATGCCAGTATATTGTGGCTGGAAAATACTGATGATTACCTTTCTCTTCTGCTAGCATGCAGTGTACCTTCAGTACCTCAAATACTAGTCACTTGTACTGAAGGCTCTAGTTAGGCACCAGTTCACCTTCTCTATGTTCTATGGTTCTATGTGAATGTTGTCTTCAGCAATAGGGCCTTACCACTGTTGTAGAGGATAATTTAATAGCCTTGGCAATGATTTGGGGGTTCCCTTGGGGCTCCTTTGACCAACAGTTGAACAAGATATAATCCATTCCTGGCATTGGAGACTTTACACGGTAGCATAACATCTTTAGTTGCAGTATTGTCTCCGCCATTATTTGGTGACTCCGTTTAGATTCCTTCATATATGTATATGTTTGAGGAAGCTTCTACAGTAGTAGGTTTCTATAGATTTTCAAATGGCTTTTAGTGTTAGTAGTCCTTCTTCAGATTTTCTTTTTTACCCTTTTCTTCTATCCTCCCTGCTTAATCCTATTTTATGTAATTCTCTCCATAACAATATATTGAACAGTATTCTTAATTGACATTTGCATGTTAGGTAAGAAAGGTTATAGTAAATAAGTTGAGCCTATTTGATTTAAATAGAAAAGGAAAATATTTTTTTCTAAGTCTAATGCTTTTGTAGAAAAATTCTGTACATATGAAAGAAAAAAAAGAATGGTCAGCTTGTCTGAAAAACTGATATCTCTATTTCCTCAGTTGCTAGTGCAGGATTAGTATGCATTTTGTGTAATTCTTATGTCACAGGTCAAGACAAAACGTAAGCCAAATTCTTCAGAAAGCACAATGAGTAAAAAGCAGGAAGACACTTCTTCGATGAAGCTTCATAACCAAGAAGTTCCCGTTTTCTTGGATTCTCATCTTCCCCAGTTCACCAGGCATCAAGAAATCTGGTCTGTCCTGGAGAATGTTTGGACTTCAATATATCAGAACAGGTACTAAATTCCCAAGAGATTCAACTTGGTCATTACAAGTTTGCTTTTTATAGGGTTTCTGTTCTTACTATTTCCACTGAAATTAGTGTTTGGGTTATGAGTTTATTGTGCTAGATAGTCATACTAAGGGCCTTTTGTCAGATTGGTACATTAGAAATATTTATGTTTAAATAGGGGTAAACATCAGAATTACCTGGAAAATTTTAAAGTTTCTATATCTAAACATTATTAGAAATTTGGATTCAGTAGAAGAAAGGTAAATCTGAGAGTTCATTAAAAAATCTCTCCAAGTGATTCTGATGTAATCAAGATGAGGAGCATTGCTTTTGTAGATCACAACCAGTGAGTCACTTAGATTGATTCAACAGTTTAGAAAATTGCAAATCTGTAATTAAACTGGAAATAACTTGAGAAAAGTTCCTTGGGTTATAGAAAATTCACATAAGAGTTTTAAAGGTGGATAAATACTGTCATTTAAAAGGCTAGATATTATTACCTTAGTATGTAAACATAAAACACTGAATTTAGAATTCTCAAATGAAGAACTATAGAGATCATTCTTGGGTAGTTTTCATTTTATATTTATGTCTGTGGGTGTGGCAGTGTCATAGTGTGAAGGTCAGAGGATGATTTGCAGAAGTGGGTTCTTTCCCTCTACTGTGTAATTTCCAGTGATCAGACTCAGGTCATCAGGCTTAGCAGCAAGTATCTTTACCTGTTAAGCCATTTTGCTACCTTCCTCTCTTTTTTTTTCCCCCCAGTGTTTAGGACCAGTTGTGTTTTAGACAGATGTTCTGACACTGAGCTACATTCTCTTTGAGTAATTTTTCTTTTTTTCTTTTTTTTTTTTTTTGTTTTTTTTTTCGAGACAGGGTTTCTCTGTGTAGCCCTGGCTGTCCTGGAACTCACTCTGTAGACCAGGCTAGCCTCGAACTCTGGAACTCAGAAATCTGCCTACCTCTGCCTCCCAAGTGCTGGGATTAAAGGCGTGTGCCACCACCACCCGGTGAGTAATTTTTCAAATAAGGTGCTGTTAGACTAGCTTACATAACTTAAAACCACTGATTTTAGAATAGGTAAACACTTAGACTTTTTCCCAAGCCCATTATCTTTATATAATTAATTGACCAAATACTATGACTTTGGTTCAAGGTCAGGTGTGACTATTATTTTGGATTAAGGTCATCTATTTGTTTTTAAGAGCAAATCAGAGTATATTGGCAGTCTACTGACATATCTGTTGTCAATTGGCTGTTACAACATTGGCTATTAGGAGCTCATTTTTTATTTATTTACTTATATATCCAGTTATTTAAAAATTTTACACAAGCATATATTTATGTTGCATGTCTCCCTGGGCCTCATTTTCATCTGTCTTCCCTTTTCTCTACCCATTTATCTTTGTTCTTGGAGCTCATTTTGTTTTTTACTCCTTGACTATAAATAAACATTTTTCAACAAATTTATGTCCTGCTATTTTGCTTTCTAACCCATCATACTAAAAAGATAACTGCAGCTTTGTGAACTGAAGATTATATTACAGATTTAATAATTTTTTATGAATCAGTTTGTTTTACTAGTCAAAACATTTTTGATATTTTGGCTAATCAAATATTCTTGTTTATAGAAAATGACCATATATAGCAAGTAAGAATGACTGCTTTAAATACAAAACCGTATCTAAGACATTTGAAAGCATAGGCATTGATCTATAATGTTCATGCATTTGTATTGCATGCTAGAGAGCTCTGTGCTATTTCTGGATAATAGACTTAATATAATAGCATTTCAGTAAGTAACAATGGTTTTTTTTTTTTTTTTGGTTTTTCAAGACAGGGTTTCTCTGTGTAGTCCTGGCTGTCCTGGAACTCACTTGGTAGACCAGGCTGGCCTCGAACTCAGAAATCCGCCTGCCTCTGCCTCCCAAGTGCTGGGATTAAAGGCGTGCGCCACCACCGCCCGGCTAGTAACAATGTTTATATTGCCTTAACAATACATATTTATTTAGCCTAGTTTTTTTCCACAAGTCTAGTTGTATACCAGAATTGCAGTGGAACTCATAGAATATAATTCTTTAATATAAAAATGTTCATTTGGAGGTCTGGTAAGTATTCTTACACAAAGTTAGTAGAACACACTTATGGTTAGTGTTATCAGCTTGGCAGAATCTAGAAACATCTAGGTGATGGGCCTTTGGGTGTGCCTGTTGAGTATTATCTTGGTTGCTTAATTGAGGTGGAAAGATCTGCCAGCTGTGGGCGGCACCATTTCCTGGCTGGGTTCGGGATGTCTGAAGTAAAGGGAGCTGAGCAGCAGCATGTATTCATCTCTTCCTCTCTGCTTCTTTACTGTGTATGCGATGTGACTAGCCACCTCAAGCTCCTGCAGCTCAATACTCTACTGTGAACTGAGAACTAAAGTAAACTCTTTCCTGCCTAAAGTGCTTTTGCCAGAGTATTTTATTATAGCAATACAGAAAGAAACAGATGAGTTCTTATGCACAAACTGTAAATGCCATCATTTTTATGGTTTGATAATAATGTAGTTTTGAACTTCTATCAGGTCAAGTTTTTGTTGTCTAGTTATGAGGAAATTGGATGTTGAGTGCTTTGTACTGCTAATTCAGGTCAAAAAAATAATCTTTTATCTGGGCATGATGATACAGTCTTGTTATCCTACTCTTCAGAAGAATGAGATAGAATAGTTATGGCTTGGAGGCCAGCCTGGGCTACATAAGATCCTGTCTTGAAAACAACAAAACAAAGCAAGGCTTTCCTGAAATTTATCATTCAAGTTTCTGAGGCACTTGTTTAAATGTGTATGTTTGAGTTTACAAAATGATTTATAAGCACAATTTCTTGTTACCTTTCCCATTACTATTCTCAGTGACTCAGAATTTTTGCGCATGCAAAAACAAGAAACTGCTTTTGGCAGTTGATAATTTTCTATAAACTGACTACTTAACCAGTTGAATAGTTTATTTCATAATATTGAAGCTAATGAGTCTGACAGTATATTGCAGCTTTTATACATAACTCTTGATTTGAAATGTTTTTATTCAGAATCACCTCGTTATTCAATGTGACGTTAAGAGAAGTTATATTAATGTTTATTTAAGCTATATCTTCACATTCTACCTTGTGTAAAAATAAACAAAAATATTTTGCTTTTTTTTTTTTTTTTTTTGAAACATGGTTTTACTACATAGCTCTGGCTGGCCTGGAAGACCTACTTGTCTCTTCCTCTTGAGTGCTGGGATAAAAAACATGGGCAACCAACGTGGCTTAGTATTTTTGCTACTTAAAACTGTACCAAAATTTCTATGGGACAATAAAGACAATGACTTTGAGAAACCATCTAGTCTTTCTGAAACTGAGTTCATCTTGATGCAGAATCGTATCACATGATCTCCAAGGTCTACAGACTCTGAAGTTACAACATGACTTAGAGTTTGGACTGTTGTAACACATTTGCGTTTCTTTCTCTGTTTTCTTTCTTTCTTATTTTTTTCTTTTTTGAGACAAGCTCTCTTATGCAGTCCTCTATGTAGACAAGACTGACCTCAAACTCACAGTGATCCTCCTGCCTCTACTTCCAAGTGCTGTTATCCCCATGTATGCCACCATGCTCAGCTTTATGAGTGTTTTAATGTTGCTACGTAAAGGGTGTTGTGGTTAGTGTGGATGTTCTGTAGGTCTGCCTTTGCTTCTAGGTATATGAATAGTTTCCCAGAGGTACATAATGAATCACCATAAGACTATATATCTTAAAGCAGTAACCATTTGAGAACTGTTATGAATGCCCAAAACTGGAAAAGCAAAAGACCGAAGGGAGTGCTAATTGAGAATCTGCTCCATGCCTTTCTGTCTTCCAGTGGTCAACCTCAATCCTTGCCTAGTAAATAGTAAATGCCATCTCTCCAGTTTCTACTTTTGTCTTTATGGAGAGGGTATGGTCCAATCTAATCCATCCCTCATTTACCTTAATCATTTACATTTGCCAGAGCCCTGTTTCAAATGAGGTCCATACGGAGGCTTTAGATCAGTAGCTCTCAACTTGCCTGCTTCTGCCTCCCAAGTGCTAGGATTAAAGCATGCACCACAGTACCTAGTCTTATTTTTTTATCCACATATAGCATAAATATTTTTTAAATCTTAGTATTTTATTAAGTAGACATTAAAGGTTTCACTGATTATTTTAATTATTAATTTACAAGGATAATCTTCCAGCTTTTTGTTTAATTGGATACATAATTCATTATGTTTATATTCTTAAGTACTGACTTGAATATATGTTAATAGTATTACTTCCCCTTCATCTCTTTGGCCTTTTAGAGTGAAATGTACCTTTTTTATTAATTCTTTTAAATTAAATCTGTATGATGTGTGGCCTAGATCTGTTGTGTGGATATTAGTCCAGACTTCTTTCATGTCACTGTCTTTTATTTCTAACTTATATAGATAAACATTACATAAGATTAATCATATTATTATTTTTTATATGTCATCAGTGAAAACAGCTACAAGTATTAAGTGAGTACATCCTTTGTTTTTATAGCACAGATGTATTTCAAACACTGGACTCAAGTTCAACCCTGACAACTTCAAAAATAGCATCATTTGAAGAAGCTTTTATATATCTTCAAAAGTTAATGGTGGCTGTGAAGGATATTCTTGAAGGAATTCAAAGGTAAATATTGTGTTAAATTTTATAGTTCTATATTTACCAGCCTAATTTAGATCTGTTAGAAGTCTTCCAGCAAGTTATAAACTATTGGATTTTTATGAGACAGAGTCTCTCTAATTCAGCCTTGAATGGTCAGGTGTGGACCAGACTGGCCTCAAACTCAAAGAGATCTGCGTATCTCTGTCTCCTGAGTGCTAGGAGTGAAGGTGTGTGCCACTGCACCTAACAGTTGATTGACTTTTAGATTTACCTTTCTCTCTTTCCTGTAGATAATATGGATTTCTAGTTTAGAACACAAAATGTTTCTACCTTTTCCTTTTATAGGAAAAAAAAATACTAGACACTCCCTTCCTGAAGGGTTTTGTTTTATGTTATAGCTTCTGGGACAGTGCCAGGCACATTTGCTCATGGAAGAAGTATGTCAATTATCACTGCTCCTCTAAAAGAAATAAATTAATTTTTGACAGAATTTAATTCCTCAGATACAGTTTCACAATACAACAAACTGAAATACAATGTGAGAGGCAATATGGTCTTAGGATTGTTGAAATTTTTACATGTGTGACTTAAACATTTGTCATAGTTAGGAAATAATAGTTTTTCCTTTTGTAGCTTTTTAAAATTGATCTCATTATTAATATTTAAAGGGTATTTTATCTCATTTTGGACCATAGTTTGTCTAAATGGTTTTTAGGATAAACAGTTATCAAAGTCTTGCCAATGTTAAGTTATTAGTGAATTAAAACATGGCAGATCCTAACATGAGTCAAATACAGTCTTTATATACAATAAATCCTTTAACTTCAAGTAATAAGAATAATAAATACTAAAGTGACTATTTCTCACTTTGGATGTATAAAACCATGCTTTACAACACCTTGCAGAAAGCAAGGATATAAACTTTGTCTTCAGTCACTTGACACTTGCTGAGCACCAGCTGGGGTTGACATCATACTAGGTACCAGGAAAGGGAAGGTGAATACAGTGCAACCTCGGACTCCCAACATAGAAACAGTCATGTTAAAGATAACAGTAGTAGCTGGAGTGGGGTTAGGGGTGGTGGTTGTGCATGCCATTAATCCTAGCACTTGGGAGGCAGAGGCAGGTAGAGTTCGAGGCCAGCATGGTCTACAAAGGGAGTTCTATCTAGGACAGCCATAGATACACAGAGAAACCCAGTTTCATAACAACAACAACAAAAGATGCAGTAGTGCCCTCTTATGTGCTGAGTATGCATCTCAGTATTGCTAGAGCGTTCCTGGAAGCACAAATAACTGATTGTCACACATACTGTGTCTTTTTATATATAATCAATAATGAAAAATAATTTATAAATTAAGCATACATAAGAGTTCCTTGACAGAAGTGTTTCTGATCAAAATAACTTTGGAAATATTGCATAGTATATTACCTCTTGAAATCATTTTACATCTACTAGCATATTAATTGCTTTATAAAGTTAAGCCGTAGATTGTTTGAAAGTAATGCTAGTATTTGAGAGGCTGGGTCAAGAGGATTTCAACGTTGAGATGAGATTGGGATACATCATGAATTTAAGACCAACATGGGCTGTGTCAGGAGACGCTGTCTCAAGGGAAGATATAAGTAAGATGCATATTCTTCAGTGTTTTATAGCTTATTACCCTTTGAAAATGAGGAATTGGTATTGCTAACCAGCTCTATGATTGGTTTGTAAGAGAACTTGTTAAAAATGCAGTCTTAAGGGCTGGAGAGATGGCTCAGCAGTTAAGAGTACTTACTGACTGTTCTTCCAGAGTTTCTGAGTTCAATTCCCAGCAACCACATGGTGGCCCACAACCATCTGATCTAATATCCTCTTCTGGTGTATCTGAAGACAGCAACAGTGTACTCACATACATAATATAAATAAATAAACCTTTAAAAAAGGTGGTGGTGCATGCCCTTAATCCCAGCACTTGGGAGGCAGAGGCAGGCAGATTTCTGAGTTCGAGGCCAGCCTGGTCTACAGAATGAGTTCCAGGACAGCCAGGGCTATACAGAGAAACCCTGTCTCAAAAAAAAAAAAAAAACCCAAAAAACAAAAACAATGCAGTCTTAATCTAAACTTACTTAAATAAGAGTATCCACACTTATTTTATACATAAAGGAAGTTGTATTTTTAGTAAGTTTCCCAGAGGATTTGTGCATAGGTAGTTAAGAAATTCTCTGCAGTTGTACATTTTAGCCTTTTTTTTAATCTTTTGAGCTACGAGTAGACAATGTGAATAAAAAGTATACTACTTATGTCATCATTCATTGATCAAAAGGAAACTACCAAAATTACAAAGTTTTGTTTTATTCTATTTTGTTTTGAGACAGGATTTCAATATGTATCCCAGCCTGGCCTCGAACTCATGTATGTATGTTTGTTTCTTTCTTGACAATTCTTTTTGAGTGCTGGAATTACGGGCATAGTGGCCTGGCATAAGTTGTCATCATCATCATTAAAAGAGGAGGTAGGAGAGAGAGAGCTAGCAAGTGATGAGTTGCTGCTAAGTTAGAAACCAAGGACAGGTCCAGTGGTGGTGCATGCCCTTTAGTCCCTGCACTTGGGAAGCAGAGGCAGGCAGATCTCTGAGTTCTAGGACAGCCAGGATTACATGGAGAAACAGAAAGAGAGATAGAGTCAGACATACAGAAAGAGGAACCAAGGACAGGAAAGAGAGTGAGGGTGAGAATTGCAACCTCCTTAGCTCAATGTTTATGTTTTACTTTTAAAAAATAAGATTGAAATGGCTTTTAAAAAATTATACCCTAGCCAGACAGAGGTGACACAAGCCTTTAGTCCCAGTACTTTGGAGGCAAAGGCAGGTGAATCTGTGAGATCGAGCCCAGTCTGGTGTACCAAGTGGGTTCCAGAATAGCCAGGCTAAACAGAGAAATCCTGTCTCAAGAAAAACTAAAAATAACAACAAAAAACTATGTTATTTGAGGATGACAAGATGGCTTAGCAGATGATCCCTAGAAACCACATAACAATGGAAGGAGAGAACCAGTTCCACAAAGTCATCTTCTAAGGCTGCTTGGCTTTATATGTAAACTACACATCTGTTTTAGATTTGTGCCTGTAATAACTTTAGATGAAATATTTGAAATGTTTTCTTAGTTTCATGTTCAGTATCCTAGGCAGAAGAGGAAAAGAGGAAGAAACAAGCTAGGTTGTTTTTGTATTTTAAAGAAAGCATGACACATTTTGAAGCTGTTTCTTCTCCCCTACCCCTGTGTGTGTGTGTGTGTGTGTGTGTGTGTGTGTGTGTGTGTGTGTGTGTGTGTGTGAGAGAGAGAGAGAGAGAGAGAGAGAGTGATTGATGTTGGGGTGCCTTGCTCAGTTGTTTTCTTCATCTAATTTGAGACAGGGTCTTTAATTGAACCTGGAGATTACCATTTTGACTAGATTGACTGGTCAGTTAGCCCCAGAATCTACCTGTTTATACCTTCTAGCACTGAGGTGACAGGTGTGCACAGCTGTGCCTGGCCTTTATGTAGGTGCTAATAAACTGAATTCAGATCATCATGTTTGCTTGTGCAGTAAGCAGCCTTACCTGTTAAGCCATTTTCCCAGACCTTGAGGCTGTCACTTAAGTTTAGATGGCTTTTTTTCCTGTCTTTTTGTTTGTTTGTTTGTTTATTTTTAAGTTATATTTATAGGAACAAATAATAACTAACAAAAATTTAACTGTGTAGGCCTAATCATAAAATATGATTTCAAAAAATTAAACCTGTTCTTGGTTTTAAGAAAAGATGGTTCTTATTAGTTGTTTTAAAACCTCCACTACATCTTACAGTTTTTGTTTGAAATATCTTATAATACAAGTACATTTCTCCCTACCCCCCCCCCCCGTGTGTGTGTGTGGTGTATTTGCACATGTGTGTAGGTATCTCCACCTGTACATGTATGTGGAGCCCAGAGGAGGATGGCACACATGTCTTGTTCTGTCCCTCTCTGCCTTATTTCCTTAAGATACACATTCCTGAAGCTAGGCTGGTGCTAGGCTGGCAGAGAGCAAGCTTTAGTGGGTACCTCCACCCCTCTACCTCTCACAGCACTGGGGTACACTATTTCTGTGGTACTAGGGATGCAAATTTATGTTCTCTGTTTGTGTTGCAAGGGTTCTCTTACCCACTGAGCCCCTGGAGCTCAACAATTACAGACACAAGATCTGAAATTTCTGTATTTCTTGTGTGATTTTATGAAATTTCTAAAAGTTAATTGTCTTGTTAGTCTCTTGCCCAATTTTTGTTTTTCAAATGGGGATCAAATCTATGGCCTTGCTTAAGTCCTACTCCATTTTAACATTTGAAAAGGCCATGTCCATCCACAGACAGGTCCACCATACATGATTTCTTAATAAGGAGGGCTATAATTACAGCATCTTTTCAGATCCACTGGTGCTTACTCGCTTTTACATTTAAATTTTTATTTATTTTATTAGCAAGTATTTTTGACTTACTATTTGGGATATTGGATAGCTGACCTCTTTAGTGTAAGCAAGATTATTTATAAAAGCTCTTCTTTCAGTTGGCACAGTGTGGTGGCTCATAGCCATAATCAGGGAACTGAGGCAGGAAGAGCGCCAGCTTGAAGTCAGACTGGTCTGTACTACAAGACCCTGTCTTTAAAAAGAAGGATTAGTTGGCACAGTGACAACACTTTGCTCTACTTGTATCTAGAGTCTGCTAGTGACCTTAAAAACTTGAAGTTGCAGTTTTAGAAGTGACTTCTCAGCATTTGGATTAATTGTCATGAACAGAATGCTTGGCCACTAATGAAGGGTTTTCTTATTTTAAGTTAGAGGGGTTTACTCATTGAGATTTGACCTACTTTATTCAGGGTGTATCTTTTCTACTTCTAGATCAGTGGTTCTCAACTTTCCTAATGCGGTGACCTTTTAAAAAAGTTCCTCATGTTGTGAGGAACAGTTCTTCATGTTGTCCTTTGAATAAACTTGATAAACATGAATGCCATGTATAAGTTTGAAGGAGAAAAAGATTTGTTTAAAATTATTTTTCATGATCTTTCTGTTAATTTATTATTAATTAATCTATTTATTTTAGGATTTTGGCTCCTAATAGTAATTACCAAGATGTTGAGACTCTCTATAACTTCCTAATCAAGTATGAGGTATGAAAAGTATTTATATATTACTCATATAATATGTATATATTGTTTGGGTATAAATAAATACAACAAGATTGCTATTGCTATTTTCTTTAAATGGTTTCTTTTATTTTGAGCCAGGATCATGCTGTCTTGTACAGGCTGGCCTAAATTAAAGTTTCTGATTGTCATAAAAATTTGCCAATAACATTTGTTTTCTTACTTGTTTAAAAAAAATATATATACACATATACATATATATACACATATATATTATATATTTTAGATATACAAGGAGAGCTGGCCCTGCCCCTTGGGGGCATAGGCACTTGCTGGAGAGCTGGCAGACTGAAAAACTCAGCTACTACCCAGACCCAGATCCAGGGCTTTTGAGTTGGTCCACCCCAACATCTACCCCATCTATGAACACTGCTGGAGCTTGTCAAGGGGCCAGGCCTGTAGGACTCCACGACACAGGGCAACAGTGGGCTGAGAGGAGTTTCAGTGAGGATCCAGTATTGATAGTATAGCAGAAGCTAGAGGCCTTGAAGCAGACCAGTGACTCATTGCACATAAGTAGAACACTGTTTGCAGTGAGATGCCTCAGCTGCCAAAAGTACTTGCTGTGCAAGCCTGGTGATGTGAGTTTCATACCTGGAATCCAATAACTCAGATTTGTCCTCTGACCATGACATTTACACATGGCATAAATGCACCACACTAACATACATGCCCACGTACTAATGACAAAGTAACATTTCAAAAAGGAAAAGATATTTTTCATTTTGAGTTTCAAGTGTGCAACAATTTGAATGATAGACTTTTACATTTATGGTTTTATAAATTACATCTCTGGGTTATAACAGATTTTTAAAAAAACAGATTTTCAGAAAATGTCCATGGACTAGGGAATAGCTCTAAGGTAGAGCATTTGTTTAGCATGCATGAAGCTCTGAGTGTAATTCCTAGAGCCATAAGAAAGTGGGGAGGGAGGAAGAAAAGGAGTGAATGAATGAATGTGAGCGAAGGGAAGAGGGACAGCAATACCAGCAATTCAAACCTTTTCCTAAATCAGACCTTTTTTAAAATTTTTATTTATTTAATGTATATGAGTACACTGTAGCTGTCTTCAGACACACCAGAAGAAGTCATAGGATCCCATGACAGATGGTTGTGAGCCACCATGTGGTTGCTAGGAATTGAACTCAGGTCCTCAGAAAAGCAGTGCTCTTAACTGCTGAGCCATCTCTCCAGCCCCCAATAGCTTATAGAAGTATTTTTTTCTGTTCAGTTGAATGCCAGAATAATCTGCTTTCAAATAAAATTGCATGACATTCAGGTCCACTCATTTCTACTATTTCTAATTCAATGAATAGATGAGTTGTAAAAATAGGACTGAAGTTTCCACATAGTGTGGTGATAACATTGCGGGTCACTGAACTTCCCCTTACTGGTTCAGTTGTCTTTTAGTCAGTTACTGAAGAGCTGAGATTCTGCTCTCAGGATATGCCCTACTGCAGTTGTACTTTCATTGCTCATTCAGTTTATCTCCTTAATAACTGTATTTTGGTTCTTTTCAGGTAAACAAAAATGTCACATTTACTGCCCAGGAACTTTATGATTGTGTTTCTCAGACTGAGTATCGGTAAGCACATCTATATGTAGATAATGAGATACCTGTAACAAACTTTTACCGTTTGCTATCACTGTGGGAGAGTGAAGCCATTTTTTTATGGGGTATGTGTGTGTGTGTTTGTTAACATGCATGTAAACATGCATGTATAAGCTTGTAGAGGCCAGCAGTGGATGTCAGTCACTCTCCACCTTGTTTTTGAGATAGAGTCTGGCCACTGAGTTCTGGGATCTACCAGTCTCTGCCTCCCCAGCATAAGGATCATAGACAGATGCTGCTGTGCCTGGCTTTTATGTGGCACCTGGAAATCTGAACTCAGGCTCTCAGGCTTTTGTGGCAAGCACTTTACTGAAGTGATCTTCCTAACCTCTCACGAGTTTTTCAACCCATATTAGTACCAGGTATTTCATATATGCAAAAAGCCTGTTAATTTATTAGCTATATAGTTTTAAATGGTTTTCACGTTTGACCTCAAGGTTCTTTAATGTATGATTGTATGTACAATCTTATTTATTTATTTACTCACTCTGAAGCAAGGTCTTACTGTATTGCTCAGACTGATTTTGAATTTGTGAGAGCCAACAAGTCTTTTTGTCTTAGCCTCTCTAATAACTGGGACTATGGACATATACCACCATCTATTTCTGTAGACTACTGAAGACTTTAAAAAGCTTTTGTTCATGTGGACCATATCCTACCCATTCTGTGTGAACTCAGAACTTTAGGATGTTAGGTTGGTGTGGTGGTACCTACCTATAATCTCAGATGCTTGGAGGGCTGAGTCTTGAAGGTCACATATTTAAGCCACGTTAGGCAACTTAGACTATCAGAGGAAGAAAATAAAAATAGTTTTCATTTTAACTTACACTAAGATAAATGGCTTTTATAGACCTCAAGGAAGAACCTTTTTGAAGTTAGGAAGTATCCAAAAATGTATTGAGTGCTTCTCATGTTTGTGAGGGTTCCATTACCAAAAAGTGAGTGCTCAGGGAAGATGACTCACTGGAGATGCTAAAGTAAGGAAGTCAGAGGCTGATTATCTGTCCAGCAGACAAGTCTTGAGGAAAGGAACTCTGGAATTGTAGCACTACAAACAGCATTGTGCACTGACAACTTGCTACAGGAAATTACTAGGAGTGGTAGCTGTCAGAATACTGACTCATGAAGGGAGGGAATTCAGTGCCAGTAGGCTGAAGAGGAGGAGGAGCCCCCCTCTTAACCTTGAGGGTAGAGAAAAGAAGAAAAAGGAAGGATAGAGAAATAGATTCAGTTACTGAAAGTTATGTTTGCTTGCTTGTTTTCAACTTTAGAATAAATGACCAAGGAGAGGTCCTATTTTTGTTTTATTTTAGAAATATTAAGAAAATATTTTCATCTCTGCTTTTTGTACTTTGTACAAGGCTCTTCTGAAAATCTTTTATTTTTTTGATTAGTTGTGAATTGGAAGCAAAATCAAAACTTGAGTTTAAATATAGGAACTAGGTGTATGGTAACTCAAAGCCAAAATTTTTATAAATAATATTTTTATTCTTTTGAGAATTTCATATAATGTATTTTGATCATATTCAATCTTCTCACCTGCTTACCCACCCAATTTTAAGAGCTACCTCACCCAGCTGTAGATTTAACTGTTTATTTAAAAATTACATGGTGTGTGTGTGTGTACTACAGCACACATGGTGAAGGTAGAGCATAATTTAGAGTATCACTTCTTTCCTTCTACTCTGTGTGTCCAGGAGTCAGATGCAGGTGGTGGGCTGGAGAGATAGCTCAGGGGTTAGGAAGTCATACTGGTTTTTGGAGAGGACTGGCGCTCAGTTGCCAGCATCCAACTTGGTCTTCTCATAACCACCTGTAACTCCACCCCAAGAGGATCTGACACGTCCTTCTGGTGCACTACACTCATATGTATACACCCACACATAGACACACATATGTGTATACACACTATACTCATATGTATACACCCACACGTAGACACACATATGTGTATACACACTACACTCATATGTGTAAACCCACACATAGACACACATATGTGTATACACACTACACTCATATGTATACACCCACACATAGACACACATATGTGTATACACGCTACACTCATATGTGTAAACCCACACATAGACACACATATATGTATACACACTACACTCATATGTATACACCCACACATAGACACGCATATGTGTATACACTTAAAGATAAATAACTGTTGAGACAAGGTGTGTAGCCCTGGCTAGACTTGAACTCACTACATAGACCAGGTTGCCTGGAACTCACAGATACCTGCCTGCCTCTGCCTCTGGGATTCTTGACTGTCTTGTAGTGATTGACTACTTCTTTTTCTCCTAGGGAAAAATTAACCATTGGCTGTCACCAGCTGATTGAGATGGAATACACCATGCAGCAATGCAGTGCATCTGTCTATATGGAGGCCAAAAGCAGAGGATGGTGTGAAGACATACTCAACAACAGGACTTAGTTCATAGGAGGAATGGCGTCTGTCTTCATGAGGAACACAGTAACTTTCAACCTGGTTGCTTTTTTTGAACCAAACCTAGAAGAATTAAAAAAAAAAAACAAAAAAAAAACACTTTCATAGATACAAAAAACAAAATGTTGTATTGACCATCTCCTTGAATCCAGTGTAGTATAAACTGTAGACCCAATTCTTCTGGAGTTGACAAATAATTCCTACCTCTAAGGAGAAGAGAGCCATCTTCTCAGTGTTCCTGAGGCAGGAGTCACTGTGACACGATGGCAGCCCACAGCCTTATTAGTATCTCTCCTGACCCTGAATGTGAGCACATGACCAGACACTGCCAAACCTAAAGACTTCAGACGTGACCATGCTACCACATTCCACATGGACTGCTTTCGTGAACAAACTGTCATTTATATAAAACTTGTGGGAAAACTCACCACTTCCTTCAGGGACATGAAGTAGAATTTGGAGCTAGCACCTTCTCTGTAGCTGCTTTGGAGATGTCATTTTTCTGTGTGTTTTCAGTAGGGAGGAGCCCCTCTGATGTTTCCCCTTAAATGGAAGCAGTATGGATTTAGGGAATTGAATGGCAGTGGCAGCTGTTTGCCCTACCTAAAACTCAAGTGTTTAATTGACTTAGTTATACATTAAGTTGGAAATCTGTGTTTACTGGAGTATATTATGCTTTTGTTAATATATTAGATGGAATCAAATTTGATATTCTATAATGTTAATTTATTTTTTAAACAATAAATAACTTATTTTAGTAGTATTTTGCTTTTCAGTTTACTTCCAAATACTGTCTCTGAAATGAGTTTAAGGTGTGATTATAACAATCTTTCCAGTAGAAAGATTGGTTCTGATAACAGATATTGCTCAGCTGTATGGTTCTGAGGTGAGAAAACTTACACGTTAAGGTTTGTGGGCAGATGAGTGACCAGCAGGACCTGAGCCTAGGCAGCTAGAAGCTTCAGCATGTCAGTAAGTCTTCCTCTTCATTTCTTGAGACAACAGTGTTGTTACATTACTCTGGCTGGCCTCATAGGTCAGTTTGGCCTTGAATTTGTAGCAGTCTTCCTGGTTTGGTCTCTACAAGGCATTATAGGCATGCACCACCACGCTGACTTCAGTAAAGTGCTTGCCACAAAAGCCTGAGGGCCTGAGTTCAGATTTCCAGCTGCCACATAAAAGCCAGGCACAGCAGCATCTGTCTGTGATCCTCATGCTGTGGAGGCAGAGACTGGTAGATCCCAGAACTCAGTGGCCAGACTCTATCTCAAAAATAAGGTGGAGAGTGACTGAGTGACTTCCTGAGCTAGTAGGGTCCCTCAGTGAACCTTAAGCTCACCGACTCAGCTAGACCACGTCCAGCAAGCCCTGGGGATTCTCCTGTCTCTGCTTCCTCTGCACTAGCAGTACATGTATGCACCATTACTGGCTTTTTCATCTGGGTGCAGGTATCATACTCAGGTCATCATGTCAGCATGTCAAGCCTTTACTGACTGAATTCTATGTCCCTGTCCCGACTCCTATCCTGGATATTTTTTAATGTGCTACCTATAGTCTTAAATCCCTTAGGAAAGGCAGTATTTCAGAGTACTTTATGCCAGAACAATGTCTTTTTGTGGCACATTCCAAGATCTAATAGAGGTGCAATGATTTGAATTTGTTAAGTGGCTTGTTACCCAGTGCACACCACAGAGTTTTCAAGTCTAAGGTAGAATCTGTAGTCAATTTGTCAACACTGACCACAACTGGTCATACTGAATTAAACATAGGATAGTGTAGTCCAGTTTGCATAGAGGTTTAGTCACTCAAGTAGGTAGATTAGCAAAAGATCCTAAGAACAGTGAAAATACAGGGTGGCTAACTTGTCCAGTTTCTAGATTGCAGTACAATCTGTCTGAATACTCAGTAGGGAAGACATTCATCCTAGCCTATCATGATTAAGGCTGTAAAGTATTCCACCAGACAGATGGGCCAGAAAGTTGTCAAGTTGGGAATGTGAACACAACCTGGGCTCTGAGAGTCGGCCGAGACACTACATAAACCTGGGGCTGACTCTGAGAAAACTCTTCATTAAGATGACATTCAAAATATCAAGTAGCACTCATATCTATCCTTGGATGGTCTTCTATGAGAAAGACCCACAGTGTCATAAAGTGAAATAGAACTATGAAGTTTTAGTCTACAGTCGTACTTGTCCACTGCAAATCTTGGTGGAGTATTCTTTAGTTTTCCTTGGCCCCAAAAAAGTATCCTCTCTATTGATCAGTTTAGGTTGGAGAAGTAACATGGTACAAAATAGGGAATTTTCAAAAACATTTTTGTTTATAATAACCATTCTCTGTGTGTACCAGGTATTTGTCTGGTACCGCAGAGGTCAGAAAAGGGCAGTGTGTACCCTGAAACTGTATTTAACAGACAGTTGGGAGCCAACATGTGGATGCTAGGAATCAAACCTGGATCCACTGTAAAAGCAGTAGGTGCTCTAAACCTGAGCCATCTTTCCTGTATAGAATTTTATATGAAACAGGATTAGGTATTTGGTAAAAGCCTGCCATGTTGACACGATGGCCTGAGTATGATACCTGCACCCAGATGAGAAAGCCAGTAATGGTGCGTATGTGTAATGTTAGTGGAGAGGAAGCAGACAGAAGAATCCCTGGGACTTGCTGGACAGTCTAGCTGAGTCAGTAAGCTTAAGGTTCAGAGTGATTCTGTCTCTGGAGGAGGCAGGAATTCAGTACATGTGGACCTCTGGTGTACACACACACACACACACACACCCATGGAGGTCAGCCATATATAGCTTGTGCCTATAGTCCAGGTATTCAGAAGGAAAGGGTAAGAAGATCACAAGTTTGAAACCAGCCTGGTCTACATAATTATTTCCAGAGGCTAGACATAGTTACAAAACATGACTGATTGCTCACAATCATCTGAAACTTCAGTTTCAGGACATCAAACCCCACTTCTGGCCAGCATGTATCTAGTACATCAGTATACATGCAGACAAACACCCTCAAACGTAAAATTGAAAAACAAGACCATAAATATATCTGTGAAGCTGTGTTTTTGCACAATTAACAGCACTTGGGAGACGGAGGCAAGATTGCTGTTGAGTTTAATGCTAGCTTGGGCTACACTCAAATCTTAACTTTTTCCTTCCCCGCCTCATCTGGCTGGTATTACAGTAGGCTTGTCACCACATTGAGTTTGTAAGGTGCTAAACATGAAACATGGGTCTTCTGCATGCTAAGCAAGCACTTTACTAACTCTACGTTAGCCCCATAGTTTCATCTTTAACATTATTATTGCGCTTTAATCTTTTCTCAACCTCTGTAATTCTGCTGTGAACTAATGGTTACTAGCTAAACTATCAGTACAGATGCCTCCATGGTAAAAGTTCTTTACTGAGGTAAGATACAGGTCTGTCCTACTCTTCTTTTTAAACCTACTTGAACTACTTTATGGGTTACCTAGAAAAAAAAATTCCCTTGTATATTACTGTGAGCTTTATTGAATGCACAACCATGTGATTACCAGTTCATTCAAGTAAGGAGTCACATTGTCCCTACAAGTAATTGTGTTCCCACTTTGGGGTTAATACCAGGTAAGTTTGCTATTTGTTTCCTCTTCTCCATAATGCTACAGAACTGGAACCTTTTGTGTTATGCTTTCTACACTACATTACTACTTAACGCGTACCTGCCCACATGGAAGCTAGAGTTTCATACAGGGATATCTCCCTCACCTGTTTGTTCACCTTATGAACAATTTTTGACATCTAGCTACCTGGGAGATGGTCACACCAGCAGCATCCAGGATGCTTCCATAGGTGTGCTTTTAGAACATAAGTGGTCAGGCCATATGGCATCGCATCGAAAGTTGCTATACCACTGCTCTGCTGGGCCAAGTAGAAATGGAATTGTGATAGCTACATTGTTTCATCAGGAGTGAAAAGCCTAAATGACATCACAGCAAAGGAAGTTTTCCCAGTTGCCAACCTCATGAACACTTGCTGTAAGCAGTGTTCATCATGGTGAAGTACCTTGTACAGTGATCATCGTCTAGTTAAAGACTGTTCTCAAGAGCTTTCCTAAGTCAAGGCCAAACAATTGAAGACTTAAGACTGGCCTGCCAAAGATGGGTTAAATGATTGTATTGGGGGAAAATTGTGTTGATATGTCTGCAAAAGCCAAGATTCAGATGCTCAGCTAGGCTATGATAGATGTTCTCAAAGGTTCGCCTTCTGCTAACAGTCAAAATGCTTCTTGAACAGATGGCATTAAGTTTATGGCTCTTTAAAAATACAAGGTTTTCATACTTCTTTTAGTGTCCCCCTAGTTTCAAGATTCATTGTTGTATAGAGCCATACTAATCTTTGAATGGCTCCAGTTTCAGTATGTGTTGTCAAAGCAAGAGCAATTTCTACGTCTCAGTGTTTGTAGTCCACCAGTACCGACTTCTTATCCTGCAGTGTTATAGTGTATATACTGTTAGCAAGTTGGTAGGCTACTTTGATTTTGTTTGGGGAGCTCTAATCCCATACAGGTTTATGTGTAAAGGAATCCCATTTTACTTTTACACTGGTGATTATTTAAATCGCTCATGTATTTACTTTATCCTAGGCATTACAGAATTGCATTTTCAAAGTGCCTACCGGATCTTGCAGTTCCTCCTGCACCTTAGGAAGTCCCCTTTCAGCATGTTCTAACAACTTGAGTATTTTACAGGGTTCAGCAGGGTTCAGGGTCACAGGCAGAACAAACTTGAGTAAAGTTGGGTTTTGTTTTCTATGTAGCCCTGGCTAGTCTAGAACTATGTATATAGTAAGCTTTATCTGCCTCCTCAGAATTAAAGGTATTAAAGCCATTGTAAACCCAGTATTTTATTGGCCATTGTACACTTGCCACTCAAGTCTTATCATTTTAACTTCTGATTAACTTGATTGATGGCAGTTGTTCCTTTGTATCCCACACACAATGACCTTTCTAATGGTAGACTTGTTTTACTAGTCTTACTGAAGACTTGGTATTCATTCTGAATAATTTCTGATGCAGTTAATTTACTTTATGCCTTGTTCCCATTCTTGTTAATGTATGTTATCATTCAGACACTTCTCAGTTAAAGTTTGTTAAGACTCACTTAGCTCCTTCAAATACAGAGATTTTGTTGTTACTGAGATTCTTGAACTAACTCTGCAACTACAGGACTGTTTTACCTAGACTCTTCTGCGTCTGTCTCCTTCCACAGCTGTTAAAGGTTAGATAAAACACTGACTTGTTAATAAGGATTCTACCACATCCTTCTCTAAGAGACAGAGTTTCTCTAATTCAGCCTTGGATGGTCAGGTGTGGACCAGGCTGGCCTCAAAACTCAAAAAATTGTATAACACTTGGAGTAATGGGAAACTTTTTGTTTTCAGGACAGGGTTTCCCTGTATAGCCCTGGCTGTCCTGGAACTCTGTAGACCAGCTGGCCTCGAACTCAGAAATCCGCCTGCCTCTGCCTCCCAAGTGCTGGGATTAAAGGCGCGCACCACCACTACCCGGCAAGTTTTAAGTTTCTTAAATTTTATGTACTATTACGTTTGATCAAAAAGTGTAGAATGGGCTGGAGACATAGCCAGCAGTTGTTGTATACACCTTTAAACAATTTTAGAGCTTTTTAAAAAAATGTGCTATTGCCAATACTATTTTTAAATCATTCTAAACTGCATAATGATAAAATGATCCCCTCATTTTTTTAACAGATATGCAGACAATG